TTAGAACAGACAATTGTCAGGGACTCATAAATGGCCTGCACCTGTCTGCTTTAAGGCTGCAGTGCTAAATCTGGACAAATCCTGTTATGAATTGAGCCTCAAAAATTTATCATGACAGCTTTGCCATGCCTAACAGTGTGGTCAGATTACTAAAGGAAAGCAGCTTAGATTACCTGCATAAACTCAATTATCTCACAAACTCAGTTTATTCTTTTGGAGCATTGTTGGTTTAGTTTGGTTTGGGGTTTCCCCCCACTGAATGTTGTTCTAGTGTGTTTTGGGTCATCCTACTTAAACATACCAGACCCTAAACATACTACATGTTAAAGGATATAAGAATTTTATAATGAGGGTTGAAAAGCATAACCTGCTAGAGGAATTTAATCCTTTATTAAGCTGATTTTTTTTTCCTCCTAGGGTAGGTACAATTGAATCATCTGCCTTAAAGTCCTTACGAGAGAAGATTTATGCGCACAGGTCTGAACTCATCAGTGCTTTTGCACAGTACGACATCAATGGCACAGGTACTCCTTCCTCTCTGTCCAGTTGCCACCATGGGGAAAACAGCTTCCATGTGTGTGGGAGGCAGAGGGGACAAACTCCATTGAGAGGAGTCCTGCCTGCCTGCCAGTGTCAGGCTGAGAGCAGCAAAGGCTGGTTGATCTTGTTTTTCATGACCACAGAGGATGATAGGCATTGGAAAGGGCTTAGCCCAAACAGCTTGAGGGGATGAAGCTTGAAGTAGGAAAAAGAAAACTGAAAGACATGGGGAAATAAGGCAATTATGTTTGCTGTTGGGTAGAGAGTTTGAGCAGGCAAATCCAGCTCCAGAAACTCAAAGGTCACCACTGCCTTCATGCAGGACTGTCTTCAGAATGTATCAGAACTGGGGTCAGGTGGGGGGATGTGGAATGGGTCTCCTTCTGAGTCTGGGAGGTATCTGAGGAAAGTTGCCTGCCTATGCCTCTAGCAGACACACACTCACTCCTCAGCTAAAGAAAAGTCAGTGCTAAGTTAATAGATGAACCTTTTATGTAGAAGCGAGAAGTTGATTTCTGCCACAAATACAATTTTTCCTTGTGATGGCTTCTCACTTGACTGTGTCCTTACAAGGGCACTCAATAACATGATATTCTTTCTTTGGCCACTGAACAGCTGTTTCACGTATTTCTGTGTGGTTTTCAGCCACATGTCATTCTAATTGCAGCCCAGCTGAAACTCGAATTACTCTTCATGGCATAATCTGGCTTTCTCAAAAAGTGTTAAAACATGCTGAACATCTTAACAGCATCACAACTTTGTGACTGGAAGGGACCTGTGGAAATGCCTCATCTAACCCGACTGCTCCTTTGTTATGAGGGCTTTTATCCCAGGGTTCAGAGAAAATCCTTGTGTTTTGTAACCCTTTGTGCTGGTGACTGATGTGTGCTGTGTCCTGTACTTTTAACCATGACCTGACCCCTTCTGGCAGGCAGGATTTCTGTCAACGACTGGGCTGCAGCAATGGAGTCTGTCCTACAGCTGGAACTGCCCTGGAGGATGCTGCGGTCTCAGTTAGCACAGATGAACCCAGATGGAGAAGTTGACTTCATGTCATGTTTTTATGATTTGAAAATGGGTCAACCTATAAAAGAGGTAAAGAGGAAAACACTTCCTTGCAATTCTTGCAGGAACAACTTTTGGTGCAAATTGAAGCACAAGACAGTAGTTTGGCCCAACCAAGTAGACATCTACAGCTGAACTAGTTGCTGAGCTTCCTTTTATAGTCACTGGAGGAAAATGAGCACTGCTAGGGTACAAATCATCATTCCCTGCTAAGGTAGATGCTTAAAATAGGTTGGATGAATCACATGCTAGAACTGCTTCTTACTTTCTCTTGGCTCTCGAGGGCGTTTAGATAATGGAGATGAGGAAATGTGACAAATCCTGCCCAGAGCACTCAACCCTTACTTTTTAAAATAAGCATTTCAAACAAGCTCCAGAGGCAGCTCAGGCCCCTGTGGGAGGAAGTCACATTTATAGATGGACTTTTAGATATTTATAATGGTATCTGAGGTCACTTCTACAGAGCCCAGTTGTTACCAAATGGCTGCACAGTGCTTTGGAACAGAGGTATCACCCCTATCTTCCTAAACAGCAGGATCCATTCACATCTGTACAGTGAGTGCTTTGTATGAGTGCACGGTCTATGCCATCTTCCCTAGATTATCAAAGATTATTTCCACAAATAATTACTGAAGGGCTCCTTTCCTCCTTGTCCTGCCATCTGAAAGCGATGGGTTTTATCTGATTATTCCTCAGGGCAAGACACAGAAGTGTCATTCCAGACAACTCAAACATAAAGATTTGGTTTTTTTCACATTTGACAAGCTAAACTGGGAAAATGGAAATTGGATAGTTCTGTTGATTAACTCAAACCAAGGTCTGAATAACTTCTTGTATGTGATTTCAAAACCAGGCTCAGCCAGCTTTGGCAGAAACACTGTGCAGATACAGAAAGGATCTGGAGATCATCTTTAACATAATTGACAAAGATCACTCAGGTAAGTCCAGGTAACTTTACTGCGTCAGCTCTAGGGAGCCTATACCAGTTATCTTTTCCCCACTGTGTTTTCTCCTTAAGGCTTCTAAATATAGAGGTGATATCATTTCTCCAGTTTAGTGGAAACTACTTTAAGCAGTCAGGCTGCAATCATATAAGGGACAGTGCACAGAGCCTAACAAGAAAAGATTCTCACATACCCCAGCTCCAGTATTGGCTTCGCTCTTTTGGGGGCTTTTTCTCCCTTCCGCTCTAGTTTTACTCTTTACTGCTTTCTCAAATCCACTGTCAAAAGCATTCAATCATTACCTAAAGTAAAAATGTGCTTCAATAATGAAAGCACTAAGTCCAGCAAGGTAGGCAGGTAACTTTCTTACAGTGAAGGAGGGTTAATGTGTGTGTTTATGCAGGAAGGGGAAACAACACTGCCAAAAGCAAGCTATTGTCTGTCTCCTTTAGGTTTGATTTCTCTTGAGGAATTCAGCCAGACATGGAGACTGTTCACTTCTCACCTGGGCATTGATATAGAGGATGACTCCATTGACAAGTTAGTCCTCAGCATAGACTACAACAAAGATGGCCACATTGACTTCAACGAATTTTTGGAGGCCTTTCACGTTGTTCACAGACTTGAGAAGAAGGCAACCTCATGAAAAAGCAGAACTTGTGGGTTGTCTTGGAAGCTCGGGTTGCTGTCATTAGTCATAAAAGGGCTGCTTGATAGGGTCACAGTGCAAGCCTTTATTTAGCCCTTCCTGGATGATCTGTACCTGCTAATACTGGGATAGAGGAGATGAAAACCCACACTTACAGTATTACTGTGTCACTGCCACACACTGCCAGGACCTTACAATTCATCCCCTCCTCTTGGTGGCATCTCCCCCATCAATCTAATCCTGAGCATTGCCAAGGTCATGCCTACAGCTGTGTAGGAAGAGAGACTTTGGTATGAGTCTGTCAGCAGTCCTTAGTGACAGCTGAGTGCATTGATAACCACACGGAACATATCAGATCCACCCTGGTGATGGAACAGGCACAAGAAGCTGGCTGTGGGGTGTCCATTGCAGGAGAGGAAAACAGGGAGGAAGCATCTGGTTAAAATGGATAGTCCTGCATTTAATCTTGCTCTTTGCATGATGCAGAGGAATTAAATTATTCCAGGTCAATCTCTTATCCTTCTAATAGTTTACAGGCACAACTTAGAGATGGTTGAAAGATGTTTACACTTGCACTAGATTTCCTCTTGCCTCTGGTTACCTTTCCCTGTATTTGTTGGGATTTGGAGCTATGAAACAATCATAACTATTTCTGAGATGGAGCCAGGCTCTGCACAATGGTGCTGAGCAATAGCACAGGAGGCAATGGGCAGAAACTGATGCACAGGAAATTCCACCTGAGCAAGAGCTTCTTTCCTGTGCAGTGACTGAGCACTGGAACAGAATGCCCAGAGAGGGTGTGGAGTCTCCCTCACTGGAGATATTCAAGAACCATCTGGATGCAGTCCTGTGCTATGGGAATGACCCTGTCTGAGCAGGGAGGTTGGACCAGATCATTCATTGTGGTCTCTTCCAACATGACCCATGCTGGGATTTGGTGATTCCAAGATAAATTGTGACCTTAATAAAGGCTAAATCCACAGCATGTTAATGCAAAACGTGATAGATCACAGAATAAAGCTTTAGCTTTCTAAGCAATGCCTAAGGGGGGGGTGTCTCTTTGCCTGTGTTTTGTACCCTGCCTCAATCACCACAGAACACTCTTCCTGAAGATGCACTGGGTTTCTTAAAAACAGAAATTAGTAAGAACAGAAGAGTAAACATATTTTGATACTACCAAATCTAAATATGCTTGCACATAGTTAAATATAAATTCTTTACCAAGAAAAAAAAAACTGAGAAATTCTGAAACTGAGTTTTTGGAAGATTGAAAACTCTTGCACTCACATTCCCGTCTCCTTTCCCTGACTGGAAGTCAATATTCCCATTCCTGCCAGTACCACCCTGTCAATTCCCAAGGGGGAGAAGGGAGGAGATCTGGACATAATTCTCTTGCATGTTACACTCTGAAAACAACATGAGGTCAGGAGCTTTTTGGTAACTGCATTACCTCATTCAGCCTCAGTAAATTCAATGCACATAAAGTGCATTGGGTAGGAAGAAGTTCCAACCTAGTCATCTGTAAATTTTAATAGCTAAAGATAAGCTAAGCAAAGCAGCTCGGTTTCATTTAATAGAAGTACTCAAAGTACAAAAAAGTATCCCAAGCTTATCATCCCAGAATGTAAGAGCAGCCCAAGCTTAAGGCACTGCTGTCTCTCTTAAATCTTGTTTTCTACTATTAAATACAGAACTCTTTCCCAGAAGTATTTTGTAACTTGACAGATGAATGAACAAACATACACACACTTATTTCTACTGCCTTGGGGGAGGGGAAAGAAAAATCTTTAACAGTACAAACAAAATTTACAGTGAAACTTTAATGGCAGTGGTAATACATAATGTATATGTTTAGCATGTAGTTATTCTGATCTATGCACTGTGATGATCAGTTCCACCTTATTCCAGTGGAGTTACAAAAAGGCTCCACTTACAATGGCCAAACATCTCTGTGTGTGGTGAGATCTTGCTTCCCGCTGTTGGCTTCCATGCAGAGGGTGTGAACTGCAAGGCAGAATTGGACACTGCAGCTCTGGAGTCCCCCTTTTGCACCTGCCCCAGTAAAGAGGACAAAGCCAGACTGTACAGTGAGACACAGGAGCTCTGAAGGATGGCTGACACCTTCCCATGTAGATGTCCTCCACTAAGGACACATTCCTGAACCTGGCATGAAGGGGACTGGCCTTGAGAGATCACTTCCTGAGAGGGGATACCAAGGTACAGTCATAGCACAGCTTCACTCAGCAGGCAGGGAGAGCCTTTTGGGGATGCAGGACAGAGGTATGAGAGCAGCTGAATCATTGAGCCAAAAAAAGAAAGCCTGTCCTGTCAGCTGCTGGTGGCACAAAGAGCCCTCTGGCCCCTGACAGAAGGGGGCTGCCAGGGGGAGTAACTGTGAAACATCTAATGCTGGGAATAAATGCCACGAGAGTGAAACCGGGAGTGGGAAAAATCCCTGCTGCTTGTACTTAAATCCAAACTGTTTGATTCTATAACCCACATCCTCAATCCCTTTTTCTCAGTCACAATTCTATGCAGCAGCTACTTAATATTCCAGATGTGAGCGGTCTTTTAAGCAGCACCTGAATCAGTCTGCAGAGTGCCAAGCTCTCACCCTACAGCTACAGCTGCCACCACTGGTAGCATCGCTCTCCTGCTTTCTGGGCAACTCTGCTCCTGCCTGCTGACCACTCCAAAAAGTGCCCAAGGTTAGGCTTGGACTGACTCAAGCTCCCACTTCTCTCAAGGCCCTGGCTACTGCCAGAAGGGTGACACATTCCTGCAGTGTCCCATGCCCACATGGGGCAGGCCAGGTGTTTCACTACCCCACAGAAAGTGGCTGCCCCTTTGCAGGGCAGCCAAAGACTGTGTGGCTCACCTGCACCTTCCAGGAACAAGCAGGACTCTTTCCCTGAGAAAGGAGACTACAATTAGCAGAACAGAAGCCAGACAAACTTTGCACTCCACCCATTCAGTTTTCACAGTTACCTGTGGCACCAGCAGCTGTGGGAGATCAGTGGCATTTTTGATCTCTCTAGTCTGACAAACCCACATCCCTGTCACAGCAGGGGAAAGGCAACAGTGTGAGCAGGGGGGACACAGGGCTGTGGAGCAGGGCTGGGGCCAACATATGGTATGAGCTCTGAGCTGGACACAGGTCCTTATTCTGCCAGCTCCTCCCCCCAGCCCTGTGTCTGGCACATCCAGCTACCTCCAGCACTGTGTGGGTGCTCCTGATGCTACAGCTGCAAATTGCTTGGGGCACCAGGGCCCATCAGGCTGGCATGAGCAGCTCTCAGGTGAATCTGTTTTAATTCACTAATGCCCTTGTTTCTGAGGCACAGGACCGGTCTGTTCACCTTTGCCTTCTTTCCATAAATGTGCTTCCAGGGACTGGCAGCTGGCAGTGTCATCCTCTGCTGCCTCCCCAGGGAGGCTGTGCAGCCTCTGTCAATTAGCTCAGCCCTGCACAAACCACAGAGTCGTCCTGTATTTTATATGGGAGCACACCCTGGCCACTGCCAGTGCTAGCTCTGCTTTGCAGTAGCCTCACACACACAGGGCTCCTCAGCAAAGCAGAGGGTCTGTGTAAAACCTTATTTGCAAATGGGTTTGCAAGGCTACTCTCCAGCTGCAATGCTTCTTTGCTCTGAGCAGTAACACAGCAGCAAGGCGCAGCTGTGCCTGACCCTGCAAGTAATGTAAGTTTGCCTTCCACTGGCCTTGTCTTTGAGTACCACCCTTCACCACCAGATAGATACCTAAACTCTTCAAATTACCACATAAACATTTTCCAATTGCCTGCATTCCACAGGGTAATTCATTATGATCTTCATTAATATACCATAACCTAGGTCATACTGTGAATTTGATAGTAAAGAAACCAATGACACTCCCATTTGAAAACAAAGAAGTCTTAAAGAGTGTCCAGGTATGCTAAGCCATACATTTCATTGCTTTAGACTTCAATGCAGCTGCATGGAAAACCAACATCAGCCTTCTTGTTTCTGAAAAGAAATTCACACAGTAGGTAAAAAAAAAAATTAAAAGTCTGAGCAAAAAGTCATCTTGCATCTCTCTCAATCTACGATTCAAGAAGAAAAGCAAAAATAACGGCTACTACTTTTTGTATGATACTGAATAGAATAAAAAAAACCATCACCTTGTTCTTGTTGTGCTTATGCTCTGCACTGTCACATCTGCTTAAACTAGACAAAGGATTTTACTTCCTTTCACTGGGAAACAAGCCAAGTGAGCTCTCATAATACACATGAAAAGTTTAAAAAACCCACACCAAACAATAACAAAGGCAAACCCTTACAAAACAGGCACCACGCCAATAAAATAATTTCCACACCCAAGTGCTAATTGTACCTGAACTGTCACTTTATACTGGCCCCTACAAAGGCCCATGGTTCCCATAGTGGGTAACACAGGGCTCCTGGTCCTCTGGACTACCAAACTCCTCTGGTCTCTGAAAAAACATTAAATCACCTCACACTAAGGCCTCCTACACCTACACTTTTGAGCCAGCTCCCAGATACTGCTATAGTAGCAGGGACAGTGTAGAGGGACAGCAGGCAGGCTGTCAGGCTTATATAGCTCAGAAAGTACTTATTTTTACAGGCCTATCTGCTCTTTTCACCTCTACCTGGCAAGACAGAATTGCTCTGATCCTTTCTGCTCACATGGCAGCAGTGCTACTGAGAGAGCCTGTTTGTGGCACGGGATGCTGAAGCTACTGCCACTTTCCTATGCTGACATGTGGCTGGTGGCAAAGCCAGCAGCACAGGCACAAGGAAAAACACAGCCAGTGCCTGGGGTAAGGCATGGTTTTCCTCTCCAGAGGCCGCCAAACTCTGTTTTCAGTTTAAATGGCCATGGAGTCATTTCCATGCAGGATGCACCTACTCCCTGCAGCACCTCAGAGCCTCCAATTGACAGCAGTAACCTGGGAACTGTCTGCAGGGAGACTTCCAGGCAGCCCAACCCCTAATTACATGAGACCAATGTAGCTTCAAACTAAAATGAAGAAAAAGAAAAAATTGAAAAGGAAATAAAAATAAAAGAAAAACAAACAAACAAAGCAAACAAAAAAACCCAAAGAGAAACATCAAAGCCTTCCATAAACTCGTGTTACACTGGAAAAGCCACAATTATGCCATTCTTAACTCTGAGGCTGTTTGCGAGGGAAATGATCAGGAGACTTGGAAATGGTGCTCAAGTGGATGAGGTTTATCTTGCTCCATTCAGATGAAAAGGATTACAGGCATAAAACTGTCTGTCACACAGGAGAAGCTGGAGTCTTGGGATTCTGCTTCCTAAGTCTTGGGGATGCAGGGAAGGAAGCTATTCAGATTAAAGACAGATGCGGCTTCCTGACAGAGGCTATCCTCCCAAATTAATGGATATTGTAGGATGTTTGTCCCTACTGGCATTAGCCCTGCACTGACTAGGTGAAAATGAGAAGAGAATCAGGATAAAAGTGTATTAGAAATATCACCACATTATTTCAAGTTATTCTTACTCCTCTAATTTACATTTCCCTGGATGTTCCACACTGTGCATTAATGATTCACAACGATGTACATTTACACACAACAGGAGAAAAATGAATGAATTCAATCACTTCCCGTATTTATGAGACTCTATGCCCAAGATGCAGCTCCCTCATTTTATTATGCCTTTTGATCTCCACAGAGTAATCTGTTTCCCTCTTGGCAGAACTGTGTAATTCTTGCTAATTTGATATGAATTACATTTATGCACTTTGGGCAGAATAACTCTCATTATTCGTTATTTCTCACACACTCTCCTAAAACCAGGCCAAATTCCAGCTCTCTGTCCCCAGCAGTAGATGTGCACAGAGCATCTCCAGTAGTGCCAAGTGCTGAGTGAGTGCATGGCATACACAGAGGCAGCAATCAAGGGGGTCATGACAGGGAACTGGGGAGGAAGAGCCTCTGAGCCTTTCTTCCTATGTGAGGCATCACTTACTGCATTGCACAGCCAGTGCTGGGCAGGAAATCATGTAAATAAATAATTATGGCTTTTGTTAGGTAAGTCATGGTGCCATAGGCTCCACTGGGAGCACTATCATAAAAAAAATGGCAAATTCCTGTGGCTGTGTCTTTCTCCAAGATATTACCAGTAGCTCCAAATGATTTCTGTAAAGACAGAAGCAAAGAAGTAGAGCAAGTTAGGCATGCAAGCTTATTTATTGGAAAAAAAACCCACAACATTATGATTTTTTATTTTTGCTGAATACTGAAAGCAATTCTCTTTCCCCTCATGAAAACCTTAATCAGGATTACAATAGGGCCCACATGACTTAGTTAGATCAGTGCAAGTAAATGAAGAACACATAACTTCATGGATTTTTGTCCTTTGGGGGGAATGCGTGGGATTACTCAAATATTTGTAATAGTAATGCCTTGATAAAGCAGAACTTCACTTCAATCTACCTTTGTACTTCAGAGCTTGTTAGCCACTACAATTTTATTCCCTTATTAAATCTCCCACAATTTTTACATTAGTTTTCCCAAATATATTTCCAGAAGATACTTAAGTAATTTGGTCTGCCTTTATAAGAGAAAAAGCCAGGACAAAATCAAGTTCGTCACACACATTAAAAAAAGAGCAGGAGATAATTTTGAGAGGAGGACACATTCCCCCAGTGCCCTTTGAGCTCACCAGCTCCTGCAGAAACAGGTCATTGGCCATGTGCACGATTCTGTCCACATGGATGATGCCCCCAATGCTGTTCACCTCGATGTCAGAGAGGAACGTCAGGACGAGAATAGCTTCCACCAGGAGCTGCCTGTACTCGGGCTGGGGGACGTGGTTCAGCACCGACTCCACGTGCACTGCAAACTTGATTTCGCACGGGGTCATCTGGCAAGTTTGAGTGGAAATGGAAAGACAAACTGACAAATCTAAAAGACTAGCTCCTCACATCCTGCAAACACTGAAACATATGCTCCTCTCCGCACATGGGGGCAGACTGACTGAAGCGAACAAAATGTTTGTGCAGCTTTAGCACTTACAGAAAGTTTTCGTGTTGCTAGACCTGATTCTGCAAACAGTTACACAACGTCCAGAAGCCTGCTCCAGCCCTGCAACCCAGCACACACATCTCACATTCAGTGCTGCTGATGCTTAGCTGGCACATTAACTCTTTGCTTCCCAGGCTGTGGTCTCGCACATTTTGCCTTATACATATCTTTCTGGCATTGCAAGTGAGTTGCAAAGCCAAACTTAGTGCTGAGTTTTACAAACACCTGCTTAGAGGGGTAATTTTTAAATAACCCCCGAGCTTTGCTATGCAGGAATATCACTGTTCTGTTTGCAGAGAGGTTTAATTTGCACTGGCATAGCTCTGTGGATGTTATGCTGCCTTAGGAAATTTGTTATTTTATTCAATTGCTTTAAACAGCAAAATTAGATACTATCCAGGTCTGACAGGCTAAAAATAGAAGTCTTTTTATCTACACAATAGGGATAAATAAAGCTCTCCTTACTGAAAAAGAAGCCACAAACCCCACCATTTGAATTTCAGCTCCTCTCTTCAGCTGTTACCACAGTTCCTCAGAAAAGAAGGAAGCCAGAGAGAAATCTGAGAGAAACATTCAGGAAAACAGTCTTGGGCACACAAGCACCACTCTTGCACTCATAGATTCCTATTCACAAGAGTTTGTTTTATAGATGTGAATTCAAAATTTGCCAGTGCACCTGAAGACCGAATCAGCTAAGAGAAAGTGCAAGAAAATATTATGGATTTAAAGAGCCAAAGCTTTGGTTGGAAACAATCATCCTCACCTGGTATTTACTTCTGACACTATGAAGCCAAAATACACTGCCTGCTGTTGCAGCATATAAAAAAAATAAGTGACAAGTGACGTGTCCTCTTTATTCCAGCAAGTCTGTGCTGCCTCACCTTCCCCACAAAGGGCTGCTGTCAGCCACCCTCTCTGGAGCCTCCCAGTGGGCACAGGGGGACAGGGAGGGTGTGCAGAAGGCAGACTCAGCAGAGGGAAAACCTGTCACAAGCCTCCTCCCAGGCCTGCCTGGCAGGAATTCAACTGCACAGATCCAGGGAAGCTGTCAGAGGTGCTGGGGGAAGGTCCACATGTTCTAAAAGTAAAACCAAGGATCTGTAACTGAGGCCCTGCTGCATCTTACACTGTCAAACCCTGTGTCCAGACATGTGGCTAGAAAATCATGGGCATTTTACTGTACCTCTCTGGTGGTTGAAGAAGGAAGGACATACCCATCAATGGACAGACCATGGCACTGAAACATTTCAAGAGTGAACAGAAATTAAAATTCTTGCAAGTCAGTCTAAGGGTTCTCTGTTCTAAGCCAATATCTAACAACTTTCAGTTGGGGAAAAAAAAAAAAAAAGGCAAAGCAAAAAAACTCCAAATGACACAAAAAGCCCTGCTCAAAAATATTATTATTTTATCCTTCCTGAAGAAGTTATTATGTAACTGGCAGAGATTAGAAATAGCTTGACATGACACACCAGAGCATGCTGTGCCCCAGCCCAGCTAACGAAGGAGAGCTCTTCAGGAGCCACTACTGCAAAGGCACACAAAGGAGGGAACAAATTGATGGGAGCATTCTGCTGGAAGACATTTGGAAATAAAAGGTAACACAAAAGCATGACAACAGACCACAAAAGCAAGAATCTTTTTTTCATTTTCGCTAGAGCAACATTCAGTTATGTGCTTCAGATCCAGGACACCACACCTCAGGATGTCAGCCACGGGAGGAGAGAAATAACAAGTGGTATAAAGAAAACAGTGACAAAACCTTAATGGCGAAAAGGCACGTTAAGGACGGACACATCTGGGTACTTGAGGTGTAGAATAGAAACATACCAAGAAGACGAGGCAGATTTTATGAATAGTCCAAAAAGACTTTAAGAATTAAATATTGAAGACAAGCACAATTCATTTTAACAGCCAGAAAAAACATACAATTACTCCCAGCTATTACATTAGGTCAGAAGTGATGCTTACTCTACCGGAAGATCCTATTAGTAAATAGCCAAGAGGTCCTATATGATTTGTCTTGGCTGACATCAACTCTAACAGCTTCAGTATAAGGAATTTTAGAAGGACAAACCAGCCTAAATTGGTGATGCACTCTTTTCCTAACTAAGCAAGCATGAACAGCTCAGTGCTGCAAGGTACCAAATGCTGGCCTGTATCCAGCAAAGCAGAAAAAGAGGTGCATAATCACTTTGAAATAAGTTCAAATTTGTAATTCCCCTCTCTTCTTCCTGGGGAGTTGCATATTTTTTATTTACGTTTCTGTACCCCTGATATCCAAGGTACTAGCAAGGACTTCCTTTTCACTTAAAACCAAACTAAGAAACAAAAAAGGTTAAGAATGCCATACAACTCAGGAGAGCCAGCAAGAGGTATCAGTGCATTCTGGAAGAGTTGGAGCAGTTTCCTACTTCATTTCTCACAGCCTTTCTGACCTGGAGCACGGAACTGCATTGCACTGCAGTGCCCTTTATGTGCACTGCACATTGTGCATTAGGCCAGGGGATGCACAACAGGCAGCGGTGAACAGAATCATTCATCCAAAATTCAGCATTGGTGGTTTCAGAGAAAAACACACTTTCAAAGAAACTTGTGCTAATGGAACCCTTTCATTTCAAGAGACACCCTTCCACCAGTCACTCTGGTTTCCACCTGTCGACCAACTTCCACTCCTGGCAAGATGCCACCCCTGAACCACCACCTCCCCAAGTTACAGCTTGCTTGCTTCCTCCACAGCATTCAGCTTACCTTCTGAAGGATTTTCCACACTTTCTCATAAAAGCCAACAGGAACTCTGTTAATAGCACCATCAAGCCTCCTCCTGCGCAGCCACTGCCCTTTTCTGTCACCCCAGCTCATGTCTCCGCCAGAGCCAGTCGGAGAAGTACTGGTGGGAGAGGATGGAGTACTGCCCCTCTGGAAGGACATTAAGGCTTTGGTTAGTTACTTTCTACCATCCCAAGTGCCACTCCTGGCCAGTACATTTCTGTTACAATGCTACCTTGGAACCAGGGAAAGAATACAGGCCTTGGTGTGATACAAGATGATGGGGTGGGACTGATCCTTCATCCCCATCTCTCCCCTTTGCAACAAGCTTTGTTTCTCAAGTACTTCCATCATTTCTCAACAAAACAGGCAAGCACTTCAACATGTCATAACCCAGTGACCTTCACTTGGTTTAATGCAACATCTGACTATTTCACCAGGCACGAGCTGCTTCCAGGGCAGTATCACTGGTGTGCAAGGTGGGGGGATCTGCAGGTAGGTCCAAATCACTTGGAGATGGGGCTCGGTGTTGTAAAAGTATCAAAGGGTTCATTAGTTCAGCAAGAGAGGCCTTCATGCAAAAGCTCCATTAAAGTAAGTAGATTAAAAATTGATTTAATCAGGCCACAAAATCATCACGTCTGCCCCTCTGCAACAATCAGTCTTGTTACCTTTAGTACCCTTGTTGCTCTATTATTTTACTTTACCAGGTCTAAATTAGGCAGCAGATAATTTTCAAAGTTGGGGCAATACCACCAAATTGCTATTGTGATTTTCATACACACAGTCTGCCCACTCCATGCACTCCCAGAGACTGTACTCTTCTGTGTTCTCCTTCCTTTTTGATACCTGTTACTTTCAGCCCAGAAAGGACTTCAATCAAAGTGCCATCTTAAATTTCCTTATCTCCAAATAAAAAGCTACTTGAGCAATGTAATGGGGAAGGAAGAAAATGACTGCAAACTGCATGTTTGGAAAGCACAGGCTTGTAGACTCCACACAGCCAAACTCTGCAAAAATGTCCCCAGTAAACAGTCCGTTTCCACTGCTAGTAGTGTCCATGAGGCACACATGGTGTTCCTTTGATGTTCCAATGTTTGCTGTTCCTTTCCCCTGCAAACTGACCATGACAGACAGAACTTTCAGCTCTGTAGCTGTGTTTTTAGGGCATTTGGGAGGTGTGCCACTGACAGTAAGTCTGAAGATGCACACAGTGAGAGCTTAAGAAGAGCTACAGTTCTCTTCCTTGAAAGAAGATGACTTCTTGAAGAGATACTCATGCAACCCCTATCTTAGCAACTTGAAGCTATTCTGGGTTCCTCACTGTCCAGAGGCTGTCAGCATTTATCAACACAACATTACTCTTACATGCTGAAGACACCTGTAACAATCCACTACCAAGTAGCTAAATCTGCTATAGTACTTTATCTGCTACAACTGCTTAAGCTTCAGAAGAACTAAGTGGATCTAAATGTGAGACTCAACTTCTATTAGAACATTGCTAATAAGAATTGGTTCCCAGTGGAGACAAGACAAAGAGGTAGGGCTTGAAAACAAGGTTTTAGGCAGGAGAAGACAGAGGAGGTGTCTAGAACCAAGACCCTTACACACAAACACACAGAGAGTGAAAGCAGTTGCAGAGCTACAGAGAGTGTTTTACCGTGGAAGCAAACATGCTGCTGGACATGGAGTGACCCGCATGAAAGAACTACAAAACAAAACCAGACACCAGCGTCAGACAGCCAGGAGAACAGAACACAGACAAGGTTAGGTAACACCCAGGTGCAAAGACAAGAAATATGGCATAACCTCAGGTACTCAGGGAAAAACTGCAGCAACCCCCAGCCTCTTGAAGTGTTGCACTTCAACTGATACCAAGGCAGCTGCTGCTGATTCCCAGGGTCCTCCTGAGGCAGAGCCTGCCATGCCAGGAGCCCGTTTGGCAGCCCACACCATCCATGGAGCTCCCAGCATGGCCAGCACAAACCACCACTTTAAGATGCAAGCAGAGCTCTCTACTTCCATTCCCCATTTGTTGTCATTGCCACCAGTTTCTCTTTGCATGAGAAGGTCATCTTGCTGGAGAGACAGCAGGCTGCCAACTGGATGGGCAGCAGTAAACAAAAAGCTGCAAGGCAATTTTTTTGCTGAAATGTGGATGCAACACCTCAGACTTCAAGCACTTTTCTCTAACTGCCCACCCCAAGCCATGCCTTCACATTCAGTGTTAATGGTTCTGACTGAAGAAAGAACAGCCACAAAAGAGGGAACTGCAGCTGCACAACACATCCAGAGATGTTAGTACAAGTGCTTGAAATATTCTTTATAACAACAAACTGTATTTGCACCACCCCACCCAACCCCCTGCCAAAGCTGACACTACATTAGCTGCTAGTCAATTATTCAGAGAATGCAGTGAGATGTGGCAGAAAGCAGCAGGAAAGGCAAAGTGGGGCGGGGCGGGGGGGTACAAAAATAAACCCAGCCAACTCCTCCTCTGTGCAAAATACCAAGTTTCTGTGGAATGTGAAAGCAACAAAGGAACTATGTTTCTAATGTCAAGAGAGGTCCGAGTATTCCAGCTCAGGCCCACCTCTGTATTTCCAACAAAATAATGCTGCCATCTAGTGCCTTGTCCCTCCTCCTGCCTGGAAAAGCCCTCAATGCAGACACCCCGTTTGACTGGGAGCCCTGCTCGGACCGACCTCCAAGGCCACCTCAGGGCCACAGCAGCACAGTCGGCAGCACCTTCACAGCCTCCCCCACATCCACGATGGTGCTCTGGCAGTGGCACAGCTCAAACACAGCAACCAGGTCTGGGGTCTCTGCTTCCCTGCCTGACCATGTCCCATGAAGAATCATTAACTGATCTTTACTGCCACCAGCAAATGCTTCATGTTAACACCATGTAAAAATACTACTCCTTTCTGAAGGATTATTTAATCTGTTTCATCAATCAAAGGAAAACATAAAATATTTCCTTAGATGAGGCTGCTCAAAGCCCCATCCAATCTGACCTTTTACATTTCCAGGGAGAGGGCATCCACAACTTCATTGGGCAACCTGTTCCATTGCCTCTCCCCCTTCATCATAAAAAAGTGTTTTTGCATCTAATCTAAACCCACCCTTTCAGTTTAAAACTGTTGCTCCTTATCCTGTCACTACAGGCATTGGCAAAAAACATCTCTTCATCTTTCCTTTAAGCCTCCTTTATATATTGCAAGGCTGCAATAAGGTCTTTTGGAGCCTTCTCTCTCTAGTTTCAATAACCTATGAGGAAAAATAGACTCTTTCTCACAAATGTATTTTAGTTGACCACTACCTTCCTATTTATTTAATGAAAAAAAAATTACTAATAGAGACACAAAATAGAGAAATCAAATCACTCATAATAAAACCATTAGTCACATTCATTCAGAGTATTTTGGTTGTGTTTTCTGTGATCTCTCCATACATTCAGATAAAGTATAATTTAAAGTACTGAAACTGAATATATATGTATAAATTCTAGCAGTAATCATCCTCTATTCCTGAAGAAACAGAACTGGAAGAAAACAAAACAAGATTCCTTTTCCACCTGTATCTTTTCCAAAAGGCATGTGGTCCAGTTTTGCAGTACAAGATCAAACACTGCATAAAAATTCTCTGTGAAGAAAAGCATCTGGCATTTCCTTAAACATGACAGAAGAGCTGTTTTTACAGTGGACACCACGAATACATTACAGTTTGTTCAAGTTATTCTACATTCAGCATGCGAAACAAGAACAAAAGAGGAAGAGCATTTTTGGAGGAAACATTCCTTAACTGCCTTGTATTTAGTGATCAGTTTTAAAATCAAAGCAACTTTGGAAATTTCTGTTATTTAGCAAGAATAAAACCTAACATACCACAGCTCCAGAACAGCTGTACTTTCTGATGAGCATTGACAGAAAACCCTCACCTGCTTCATCTCACTCTTCAATTTAGTAATACCACTTCTTTCAGTTCTGGTTGCTCCAGAATGCCCCATCTCATGAATAGAAATTGCAGGGCTGGATGAAGAAGAATCTACAGGCCGCACTAAAGAAGCAAATGGACATTTTTAACATTCTAGGGGTAGAAAAATAGATTAAATTATTTCTAAGAAGTTAAACACAAATAATTTCAGAAATGTGCAATACTTTTGGTGACAGCATCCTTTCACAGAATCACATCAAGATTTCACATCTGATTGTATCACATAAGGGGCCTAAATCTGTTCTTGGATATCAGAAACTGATTTTCCAAGAGAGTGAGCAATTGTAAATTTAGTCAGAATTTCAACAAGTCTCTGAGGGTCTACAGAGGAACCCAGGAGATAGCTGATGTGCCAGTCAGGTACATGAGAGCATTAAAGACATGCTTCTTGAAGGCAGGTTAGATATGACCTTTTAATAGCTTTTGTTCTGGTTCAGTAAAATTTCTTCATTTTAAAAGTTTGCCTTCATATCACCGAAAACTTGATACAATCTTATTTCAGTGCAGGATAGCATCCACCATATGTATTTTGCTAATTTCACAGCAGACATACACATGTACTGGTCACCCATGATTAATATATTACCTATACTTTATTTTATATGCAGAAAGAATATAAATTAATTTTTTAAAATCTAAATCTATTTTTTAAAATCTAAAAAATAGATTTTATATGTTAAATTAGATTGTCCTATAAGACAATCTAGCTTAACATATAAAAGTGAAAAACTTACAGCTTCTTTCCACTCCAAACTCTTTCCCACTGAGAATATGATGTAGTAGACTTTTCATATCAAAGGGGCTTAGATTCATCAAGCTCTCTGAAGCTTCTTCACCTAGTTAAACAAAATAAAACAAAAAAGAATGACAAATGTCACTGGGAAGACAATGAGCTATACAGCCAGCTAAGGAAACTGTGAATGAAGTCCAATCACATTTAACTCTTTCGCTAACCCTTCCTTTAAAAAAATTAATATCCTGTTACATTTCATAGAAAATGTATTTCAGGACTAAACAACAAACACTCCATGGAAATAACACTTCTTGCATTAATCTTATTATGTCCTAGCTTGTGCAAAATTTCACTGAAGCTCATAATGAGAAAGCAGTTGCTCCCTCATAGAACAAGATCACTTGGAAAGGTATGACAGCCATCTCCCAACAGCAGATGACATGTGGATCTAAATTCCAGAGACAGTTATTCCATAAAGAATATCCTCTGATATTCTTTGAATAACTGGGTGCTAAGGGGAGAGAAATTTTTCATTATGTAAAAAAAAAAAAGTGATCTTCAAGGTTTGTAACTGCACATGTGAACTAAGAGGTTAATAGAAGGATTTAACACACATAAATGAAAAGATCAACCATGAAGGGTGAAGCAAAAATGATACCATAAGTACCCTTACAATGAAACTGCTTCCTACCTGAGCATTTCAGACTTCGTGCCAGCTCCGTGGCCATCACCTGGATTATCAGACCAATGCGGAGCCTGAGCATCTCCACAAAAAGACTGGGCTGTGACCGGACGTACATTGCCAAGTACATAATTATCTCCTGTAAGGAGAAATCCATAAAGGCACCTGTCAGAGTGGGTCTTCATGGCTTTCCCCATCACAGAGCAAACACTGGCACAGTCCTGGGCACAGGCTGCATACCTGTGTCAGGACTGCAATACTGATGTCTTGGCCACTGGCTTCATAAATGAGATCTGTGAGCTCCTCAGGGGGCAGTGGGCTGCAAGAAGTCAAACCACAGGTAGCAGTGACTCAGCACAACCAGATATTAAATTCTTAAACAAGCACTGGGATCAAATGACCTAGAACAAAGGCATTGAACTGCATCCAATTCCACTCTGGGTGCAAATCCCTTTGAGGGCAAGGAGTAAGGTTTAAAAGAAAATAATAGCACCAGAATGGTACCAGCAGGAAGATGAAGGGCGGCCTATGCCCGAGGCAGAGCTCAAACTTACGTGGTAATGATTTTCTCACGGGGTTCTGGTGGCAGGCCCACTGTAAGTTGCTTGTGGTGTGACAGAAGGTCTGTGCATGCCTATCATAAGAGGACAAAAAGCAAGAGACCTTTCTCTGTGTCGTGTGGAAGTGATAAGGTTTTTAATTCACCAAATTACATTAATTCTTTAGCAATTTTTAAATGCATTTCTATTAATTACCAGACATTACACAAATCCAGCAGAATGCTGTTAAATAGTTTCCAAAGATCTCCTGAGGTCAACAGGGCTATGAGAGTTTGAAAGTAGCCTGTTTCCCTGCTCAGTGAAATCAGCAGCATAATGATTAGATTAGATTAGGAACTCTAGTGGGGCTGGCAGATCAATAAAGGCTTTCATCCTTTATCATATAATAAAGTTTTGTTCTTTATGTAAGACAATCAGATTTTTAATCAATGAAAAGTTTGGCAGCATTAGTTAAAAAATCCTGTGTACTAACATATCTCCTAAAACAAACACTCAGCATACTGCATCACATTCCTGGTACAGTCTGAAATAGGTACTTTCCACAGTACCAGTGTTTTTACTCTTTTATATTGACCTCCTTTAAAAGTGAGTGTTCAGTTTACCTGTTTTAGTATCCTGAATCAAAAAACATCACAGAGCAGTGTTCCTCTGATTCTGAAGAGTCTGTTTGCACTCCCTTAACATGGAAGAAAACAGATCATCTCTATTCTCCTTCTCCCCAGTTCTTTGTCAATACCTTCTCAAGTTAACATTCATGGCTTTTTGGGAGCATGTCTCTACTGCTCGTCCATTCTGTCTTGAGAAGGCAAAAAGTTCTGTGCTTAATGAAGTACCACACACAGTGATTATCACATACTGCTCTCAACAGACAGGGCTGTCACTAAAATCCCAGATGTGACAGAGAGCCTAGAAAATAGCCAGGAATTACAGAAAGAGCTCCTCAGAAATATGCAGGGGATTACTAGAAAATTAAACAAATACTTCTGGAATACTTGAGAGGAAACCTTTTTGTAATGATCATGTCTGTACTCTTAACAGTGGATTGTTCTTGTTACCACTTAATAGACATGGATATTTAAATGGTTACAAACATCCATTAACAAGGTAGACTGTTGACCCAAGGGGATGGAAATGGACAGAACATGCTTTTGTGTCATCACTAGCACCCTGAATAGCAGTGCTCCAAAAGTGTTCATACCATCACAACAGCAATAGACAATTACAAGTGACAACTGCAGCTTTCAAAGCACACAATTAAGCTTCTACAATTAACAGAGATGTAATGAAGCCTTCACAACTATTTACAGTGTGACATTCTCAGTCCATGCCAACATTAGCAGAGTTTGCAGTACAGATGAAAGATAAAGATGTAGTAAGACTCTAGATCAGAAAAACAAGCAATATTTAATTTAAAATGCTGCACTATGTATTGTTGTAAAGTAAAACCAGAAGAAGGGCAAGGACAAACTCCAACAGCAAACTGGGAGTTTGATCTCTGTTCCCAGGCAGGAAACTGAACCAGGATTATTTGTATTTCATACCTCAGCCAGGACTTCAACTCTCTTTTTGAGTATGCCAGAAATGTAACGGATTAAGCCCCATTCCTGATTGAGGCCTGCCTTTCTGTAGAGCTCATTGAGGAGGCAGTGAACAGTGACACCATACTGTCCATCCAGCTTTGTGTCCCAGTCAGCACCTCTGCCACAAAACAAACAGGAGGTAATTGCCATCAGGCACAATGCTAAACTTTTTCACACAGTTGGATTTTGACTGCCTTGCTCATGTTGGTGACAGAATTAAATACCAAATGGAACATCTGTGCCTTCAGCACAGATTGACTATATGTGGATAAAATCCTCTTGATACCAGGAACTTTCACACTAGAGCACTCACTCAGCTGTGAGCCAGCAACTTGAAAGGAACCACCTGAAGGATTTCCTTCTAGACTTTAAATTCAGCATTCACATGGACAGTTTGCTGGAGGAACACTCCATGTAGTGCTTTTTCAGAGCAGAAGTCAACAATATCTTCAGTGCTGCTGAAGACTACACCCATTTTCCAGATCCTTCAGGGGGATTTTTTTAGCCATTCATCTTTCTTAGCTATTAACTAAACTTCTGTGTTGCTTATGTCATTACTGAAAAAAACAAACATTTCTGTTCCTCTTCTGCTTTTGAAATTCACTGCACTATGGCTTCTCTTTGGCAATGTTTTGAACTGTCACAGAATGACTTTTCAAGTCCTGCTAACAGAGTCCACCAGAGGTCCATCTGCCTGCCAACAGAATCTCCCTTGGTGAAATTACTGGTGTTACATGCAGTTAAACAACAAAACATATTTTTAATAGGATTTCCTTTACTCTTTAAGAGAGGATGATAAACATTTTGCTTGGGAAATCAAGAAGATCAAAGAAGATGTCCACACAGGAGACTGACTAAAACAAAAATGCAGTCTTTGTAGCAGTAGGGAAGACCATCTGTGATTAACACATACTTGTCTTTGCACCAAACGCTAACTACCTGACAGGTTCCAGCAGTATTCTCCTGCACAGGAAAAAAAACCCAAGCTCAATAAACACACTTCAGAAGATGATTCTATTGTTTCTATTTGCATTTTGCTCCCATCAAATCAATTTAAATAGCAGGTGTTTACTAACTCCAGCAGATGGGTTCAGACTGCTTCCAAGAATTAAAAAGTACCAAATTTTAGACAGTTGCATACTTAAATATGCAAAGGGATTAGAGGAAAAATAGTGAACACTCATCAAAATTGCATTTTGCCTTTGGTTAGAAAATGACAAGATGAATTTTCCCTCCACTTTCATTCTTGTGTATGAAAATCACACTAAATCTTTATGAACTTCAAACAGAATGCCACAAATATAGTAGGGTGTGTTCTCATTAATGAAAAGGATTTGTGCAACTAATTTGTGAGCCCTGGAGACTTTATGTATTTGAAACTGTGTGCCAATCAATTCTAGAATTTGCACAAGTCTTCTTTTGTATCCAAATAATTCCTGTAATCAAACTAAGTGAAAATATCTTTGTTAAAGCGCAAAATATTTCCACTGTCCCCTCAAAACACAACCTGAACAGTGGAAACCTTTTGCAGAAGAATAATCAGATAGCTGTGACCAAACTTAAAGATGATGAAATTCATACTAAGGCAACTTACTTGAGTATATGCAAGATATACAAGATATCTGCTTGATCATGGAGTGTTGGACATTCCTTCAGCTGATCAACAAGCTTCCTGCAATCCAAATCACCATGAGCATCTTTAGGTAAGTGCAAAATATTTTCATGGTCCTGATAACAAAGATGGATGAAAATCACAAAGACATGACCTTGAAAAAAGTAGATCTGCTACTTCCTGTAACTTCAAACTCTCCATTAAAAAAATCACAAATCACAACAGACTTGCAACAAAGCTCTGCACTTGAAATACAGACACATCACTTAGTTCTTGCCAGGTACTGCAGGCACAGAAAGGAGACTAACCCCAAGAAACACAACCCCTAGAATGGAACCTTGTATCTATTTTTTTTTTTTTGACAAAACAAAGAAATCTGGATACTGCATAATTTTATCTGCCTTTTTCCTGTCATCTTATGTTAGTTGTAAAGAGAAAAGCAAAGAGATACTATCCTTTTTTTTTGTTGACATTATTTAGAGCCTTTTGAGTTCCATCTCTAACCTGTATATGTGGCACTTTGTGAATGCAAATATTGCCATTATAAGTTTTGCAAGTAAAATGAAAGTAAAATGATAACTAATCAGATTATGCCATCTTATGATGAATTCTTGGATGAAAAGAAGTTTTGTTTAACAAGCTGTTCAGCAGTTTATATAATCCTAAAATACCATCTCCACAAACAGAGCCTTGTGCAGAACAGAATCCTTCAGGAGGCTGGTACAACCTCTTTTTGCCATTCTCAGCAGCTGGTCACATATACCAAGAGAAAACAAGTGCCCATCACAACCCCATCTTCATGCCTTGAGGTGGGATTTGGCTGGTCCTTAAGGACATTGACACATTCCCTCTTGCCCAAATGATACTATAAGTAGCATTTCTTGGAAAACATCTCTAAATCCTGCGAACATCCTGTCCTCCCCCTTGTGTTCAGCTAGAACTAAAGACAATGACTTAACTTTTGGCTTTTAAAAATAAAGCTATCATTATGTTCTTTTCTGTGTTGCACATTCAATTAAAAACTTTCCACTTGATAGTGTCTATTTAACTAAAAACCTTTCATCCAGCCAAAAAAAATAATTTCAAAAACAAGGGAGTACCTTGGACAGAATGGCTTGTCAGTGAAGAAAAATGAGACCTGGCACAGGGTTTGGAAGGAAAACATGAGAAAAGGCTTGTGTTGCATCCTAAAACCACAAACAGCATAAAAATTCCCACACCTTACCTTTGTCCCAAAGAAATGAGGATTATCAACAAGATTCAGAGACTTCCGGTGTGTGTTCAGAACTTTAGTGGGAAGAGACATAGACACGGCTGAAAAGCAAAGTCACCAGAACAGAAAGAAAAGAAAGGCTGTTTCAGTAACATGAAAATCAAAAACACCCACATGAAGCAGCTTGACTAGGTAAAAACAACAGAAATACCTCCAAGATTCAAAATACCAGAGGCAGTGCTTCTGAAATACTGTGCTTGGAAGTGAGACAAGCTCACATTCTGAACCTTATCTCCTTGCAGGTTTGCTCTGAGGGTTTCTGAGATCAGCGTGTCAGAGGCTCAGGGGCTACACGCTCAACCAAGACCTCTTGTTTGACCCATGACTCTGAAATCCTGCAGCCCAGTGACATGACCCTGCCAAGTGTTTTAAACATTTCAACCAGAAATAAGTGGAAAAAATGGCCTAACTGATAAGATTTCATAATTAAAGTTATAATGCTAAACGCAGGTTAATGCTCTGTTAACTTCATATGCTGAATTCAATGGAGGAACAGATGATGTGGCACATGAAAGATGTTAGAAAAAACAAACAGAAAAGCTTGGAAGTTATTAATTTACACTGAAGTTAAGGGAAGTCTTCCACTGGGTGTTGAATACTACACATCTACATATAAAACAACGCATATGTTGGAATCTATTTACAAATTCAGCCAGAGTCTTATTTTGGTGTATATCCTCCAAACAGGCTATCAGAAATGTAGCATAATTAGAAAGACTGTTCTCCCTCTCTACTCCATTTGTTGTAACAAATTTAGAAAGTACATGTGAATATTTATGTTTTTCTTGTATTGAAACATTTAATTTCAAAGCAACTTTATTAAAATTAAAAAGTATGTTTTGTTTGCCTTCATATAAGCAAAGACAAAACAATTAATTAACTGATTTGGGTTCTAAAATTCTAGCCAACTAAGAAGCTGTAGCAGCTTCCATAATATTAAGTTTGATTAAATGTTACATTTTATTTCAGGTTTTCTGTGTATACACCATGACACGGGATACTGTGGGAACATGACAGGAATAGCTTTAGTCATTCTTACTTGTTAATGAATTTCTTATTTCTTCTCTATACAGAAAGAACTAGTGGCACAAGTATGTCAAAAGGTATAATTTTTAAATACTTGAACTCACCCCTTGTAGCAGCCAAACCAGGTTTTTTAAATTATTATCACTAAATAAACAATAGGGAGAAATACCTGGAACTTCCAAGCCCTTTGTCTTGGCCATTATTGACAGTATCTCTTCCGTGGAATGGTTTGCACTGAACACAGGAGGTTCAGTCGTCTTTGAAGTTGGAGGCAGGTATGACTTCAGGGCTGTGCTCAGCAGGACATCATTTATGTACTGATCCAGCTCATCCTGGCTATCTAGTGTAACATACATTAAAAAAAAAGGTAAAAATCACTATTTATCATCATCACTTTCTTATTCAAATACACCACTGTATTATTGCTTATTTATAAGGGCGCTCAAATATGCAAAAATAGTGTGAGGAAGAGACTTTTTTAAAGCCAAAAAATTGGAAACAAAAGAAAAAAACATTTTTGACACTGTTTTGGAAACAGATTTAGAAGCTAGACGCTATCTTTGCCTTTGAAAGGAATCAAAAGAGGTTTTATTTTGCTGGTAGATCATAGAACACAGCTGGACTTGATGATTGTAAAAGTCTCTTTCAACTTGTATGATTCTAAGACTCTATCATCTTTTCCACACAAGCTCTTGTCCATGACTCTTCACAGTCCTTTTCCCTCTAACCTCTTCCACACCTCCCCACCTGCTGACTCTCCAGACTCAGCTTCGCTGCTGCAGTTGCCAGCCAATGCCATACTACAAATGCAAGAGCACACATGAATTCATTCTCCAAACTAAGTCATGCAGGTCCTGCTCTCAGGTGGATGCAGAGAAAACAAAATGACCATCAGCTGTGCACAGAACAGACTCGGCACTGTGGGCAAACCCAGGCTCTGCTAATAGAACTTGACAGAGAAAAAAATACCAAGTGAAAAAATACTACCTTTTTCACAGAAATCTGCTGAGTACTCTCCATATTCACTGTCAGGGCTATTACAGTCGTTGTTACGGTCATCAAACAGTTTTAGGTCACAATCTGGATCCAGGAAGCTCAGATATGTATGAAAAGAAGTGGTAAGAAATTCTGATAGCTTGCCTATCTTCACCCTGAAAAAGGGGACACATGCCAAAGAGCATTAACATCCACCATTCTGATACTGATTAATGCTCACTTAGCTTTCAACAACTCCTCCAAAATTCATGAAACCTACTGTTCAATACAGCTTTGGCAACTATAAAGCGACAAAAACTGACACTGAAAAATAAAAAAGGAAAAAACAGTTGCAGATCCAGCTGGGTACTTACTGCTCTAGGTAGTAATTGATTTTAACTGTGCTATGGTAACAGGCCTAACTAAAAGCCTAATTATGCAGGGTGTTGTATGTCCGTATGAAGAGAGACTCTGAACAAAGACCTGAGCTCCAAAGATAATGCATAAGAAATTGGGACTGAAAAGGCCCCATGAATGTGTCTTTTCACAGAACTGGAGGCTGCTAAACCATCTGTGCTGATTTTAGGATAAGAGTTAATGACGGGGCTATGCTTTGAATTTGTGCTGGAAACAGTGCTGATAATACAGGGATGTATTAGTTACTGCTAAGCAGGGCTTGCACAGCATCCCAGCCTTTTCTGCTTCCCACCTCACTCCACCAGCACAGGCTGGGGGTGCACAAGGAGCTGGGAGGGGACACAGCTGGACAGCTGACCCCTGCTGACCACAGGGACATTCCATACCATAGGGTGTCATGCTCAGCATATAAAGCTGGGGGAAGAAGAATGAAGGGGAAAATCCTCAGGGATACAGAAGTTTGTCTTCCCAAGCCACAGCTACATTTGATGGAGGACAGCTTTCCTGAAGATGGTTGAACAACTGCCTGCCCATGGAAAGTAGTGAATGAATTTCATATTTTGCTTTGCCTGCATATGTGTTTTTTGCTCCATTTACTAAACTCTATCATAACTCACAAATTTTCTCACTTGTATTCTTCCAATTCTCTCCCCAGTCCCACTAAGGGGAGTGAGGGTGTGTGGCCATGTGGAGCTGAGTTGTTAATTGGAGTTAAGCCATGACAATGTTTGACTATCAAAGAAAGATACTGATTGAGAGGGAAAGTAGAAAAAGAATAGGGAGATACTGTGGCATCATATTTTATACACAGATGAAAGGAACACTCCAGCTTACAAGTACTACATGCAATCAATGTTTAAAACATATCCAGTAACTGCAGAATTAATTTACTTTTTAATAACAGAAGCCCAGCCAGATTCATATTTCAAGATTTTATATTTCCAAAGATTGGATGTTTGTTTTCTTTATCCATTAATGGCAGTCAGAGATAGTGCACTTTTTGGGAGACAGATCTTTTCCATTGCACCTGAGGCCCAGCTACCATTTATTGCCACATAATAATTAAAGCTGAAACTTCCTTCTCTGCAGAATTCTAGTACAAAGTCTGTGCACTATCACAAGTTCAAAACTGAGACTTTTACAGGATTTCATTTTAAAAACCATGGAGATAATAATTTGGCAATTCTGACATTACCTTGCACCTCCAAAATAACCATCTTCTAATTTTCTTATTGTGGCAAGAACTGCTGGATGAATGTCAGTGCCATCATCAACTAAAAAAAATAATGGAAGACTTGAAGCTCCTCAACACGTTCTCAAATTATCACATCCAAATACAGTGAATTACTGGGTGTTGTCTACTATGTAAATCAGGTAAATTTAAAGCAGAACCCACAACCTAGCTTATTCCAAAATCCCAGACAAACAAGCAAACAAAACACAACCCCTAGGTAAGTTCTAAAGACAAAAACACCAACCTCCATAAGACAAGTCCCAATGGGATTTCTATAAAATTTCTTTAGACAGAGATAGCATGGAGATGGTCGATGATGGAAGCATATCAAGAGGGAGTAAAACCAAAATTAAATATTACCATGTAACCCAAAATCAGCATACACATGAGAAAATTAAACTGTACTTCTGATGTTACAAGTCCTGCTACCTGTCTCCTCTCAAACCAACCTCCATCCTATTCTCCTGCAATAATCTACTCTGATTGAAACAGAAAATTATGTTTACCAAGCATTGTGTGGGTGATGGGAAATGTCAAGGTTGGTCTCCCTGTCATCCTCCAGCAAGAAGTGAGGTAAGCCAGCTCTGTCTTGAGCATCTCTACAATCATCTGATTGTCTAGAGCCAGATAGAAGTGATGCTGGTCAGTAAACTAGAGAAGAGAAAAACATAACATAGGGGTAATTGTTAGTGCTTTCCTTTTTTTTTGTTTCTTCCTTTAAATCATTCACAAAAGCCATATGAGCTACTCCTGACCACAACAAAAATGACCTGAATTAACCTAACAAGGCCTCAGACTGTGACAAAGAAATCCATTGTTGTGGAAGAGTCCATTTCCATCTGCCAGTAGACTGACCATCAAAATAAGCTGTACAAACAAAACCTAGGCACTCACAGTCATGAAGCAGAATCTTCCCAATGACCAATTACACTGACCTATGATCTAGAAGATGGAAGTACTCTAAATGTGGAAAAAATATTAAGAATAGTAACAAAACCAATAAACAGACTTAAGTGCACGCTGGGGACTGGGCGCCAGTAACTGTATGTCTCTTGGGAACCATCCAAAAGTCAGGCAGAATACAGAAAGGCTGGCAGTCACTGAGGAAAAAGGGTACATGAAATGTGCAATGGCAAAGTGCTGCTCCCACTGCAGCAGGAAGCCAAGCACCACAGTAAGAAACAATTGTGGCTACTTCAGAAACTGGAACCAAAGAAGCTGCACAAATAATGGAAAGTATGTCAAAGCAGCCACAACAAAAGTTAAGGACGCCCATAAGCCTTGCAGAGGAGTAAGTGCATAAAGAACATGGAAGTTCAAGCTGACAAAGTCCAGAGAATTTTTTTCACAGAAGGAATCAGGAACTAGCCAAAACAATCCTTAAGCCACTCACAGTTAGCTTTGGTAATTCAGGAAGAACAAGTCCCAGAAATCCAGAGACAAGGAAACAGACAGCCCATCTTTAAAAAGGAAGAGCCAATTAAAAATGGCCAATTCCAGGCCAATTAAAGCGCATGGAAGCAAAGGAAAACAAAGCCAATTTTAGACAGACAAGATAATTACAAAATGATAAAGTAAGATGGTCAAAAACCAATCTCAACAGATCAGCCCACTTTCCTTCTTTGGAGCAACCAGATGATAAATATAAGAAAATAGCTGACACCTGCCAGCTTCTGCAATTTTTCACACTAGTAAGCTGATCTGACTTCCTAGGAAGCAGAACTACCTTTAAAATTGTTCTCAAAAGGTAGTTATTAACCACTTTTTCAGAATTACTGTATCTGAATGAAGTTAGCCTTTGCCCCACACCTAATCAATGTTTTCATTAGTAAAGAGAATGACATACAAATGACAAAATGACAAAATTTGTGGACACTAGCCAAGATCAACAAGATGATTTAATTGCTAAACTCAGGAAGGTGACATTAAATATTAACTCCATCCACCTCAAAAAAAAAAGTCAGGGGAAGTGTCTGGCTTCAAAGTACAATGGAAAATCTTCTGGAGGTTTTAGTAAAATATGGAATTAGCAGGAACTGTCACTGTGTTGCTAATGTAAAGATAAATGCCATTTTGGAATATCCTTATTTGATACATTACAAAATTTTAGCAGGAATACTTACATAGTAAGATGTGAACTGAGAGGTGTTTTGAGAAAAAATACATCTCTAAGGAATTTTCCCCTTATTTGCAAAAGTGAAAATTGGTACTGGGAAGTAACACAACAACTAGCATTTTATAAAACTGCTTCTGATCAATTGACATGGGGAAGAATGAGAAAGAATCTACATTTTTTGCAGTAAATCTGATATGTTTGGGTATTATGAAGCAGTACAGAAGCCTTCTACAGAGTCCACTGAATGCCTTCAGCTGGAGTTTAAAGACTTCATTAGTCAAACATCTCTTTAGAAGGGTGGATGCATCCTTTATCCTGCATCAGTTGTACATGCTTGGAGCAGGGGACTCCCTGGCCATCAAGTACCAACTGCTGAAAGAATTCTGTTGAAATAAGTTTGTTGCATTTCATTAAATGCATTGAATGTTGCATTTCATTCCATAGGAGCCAATGATTCTATGAGGAACCAAACTTTTGGCAACATTGAAAAAACACACTGAAGAGAAAAAAAAGACAGAACATCCATTTCTCAGCACTGTCCTTTCAACAACCCAACGAAAAGATCACACCTTCACCTCCTAGGGGCTACAGTAATTGGCACACTTATGTGGTACTAAATTTTTCATCAAAGCAATTGGTGAAAAGATACATTAAGTGATCTATTTCTGCAGAAACTATTTCATTGATTAGAATGTTGGTGTGGGCAGAGATAAGTAACAACTTTGTACTATTGATTCACTGTGTTCTCCTAAGCCAGAAGCCAAAGAAACCAGACTCTGTATGATGGAAAAGAGATTTATCAGCAGTTCTACCATGCTGATCATCCCGTGCTCTTAAAAACCCTACAAAATAAAGCACATCTGCTGTTTCAGCCCCATTCTACCTAAGGTACCTAAGTGACACCAGGGAAAAGCAAAGTGCTTCATTAATGATTCACCATTAAGAAAGGAGTGATTTTCCTGCCAGCTTTACATGCTTACCTGAGGGGTAAAAGCAAATATTTGATTTCTTATCACATAGAGCTTGGAGGTGCCCAACACTCCTATGTGTCGGTGTGGTCGGCCACTTAATTTCATGTTCTTGTTCCGGCCTGGAAAGGAAAGAGAAAGAAAAGAATCTCAGATAATATCTTCTGTGTTGTTTTCCAAAATAACCACTTTGGACAGGAAAATTTACTCCACTAATATCAGTAAGGCAGAAGACCAGTAACAGAGTGTGAGGCTACAAACTGGCTTTGTAGCAAGCAGCAATATGATAGTAAGTCCTTCAAAGGCCAGATCAAAAATTAAAATTTTGGCTTCACTGGCCATGGATTTGGTCTTATAATTACAATAATTGCTCAGCACCCAAAGCTTCCCCACCAAGAAGGGCAGGAGATGTGATATTACAAAAAACAAGGCCATCAACATAACCCAGAAATTCCAGTGTTTTCAAATATAGGACCTTAAAAACTCATGCCTGCAGGCTAAATCAAAGTACATCAAATACAAACAAAAGATTTTCATCAGGCTTTAATAAGCTTCACTTTTCTCAGAAGACCTTATTAGCAAATGATCCACACTACAACCTTTGCACCAGCAGCCAGGAGCTGCCTTGAATCTTTCTGACAAGGCATAAGAACCAAACAACCACCAGCTGGAAAAAATACTACTGTGAACATTTCCAAATAAGTCACTGTTAAAAACAATGTATCAAATCATCCTACTCACACTCCCCTACTAGTGAAAGAAAGCTATTATGAATTATAATAAAATAAATGTAAGCCTCAGCAAAGCCCTGCAAATGTTTCATTTTTTTTAAAAAGCTTGGAGATGAAGAGCTAGATTCTTTTGCAGAAGCAACATATACAATTTCTCTGTGTAAAGGGCACAGTTCCTAAAATTTATCTGGAGGCCCCTTTGCTTTGAATGATTCAAAAAAAAGCTCCCCGTTAAAGCAAAAAAAAAAAAAACACCTTAAAATAAAGGCCTCAACAAAAAAATGTTCACCCCATGAGGAGCCTTGGCATTATCTGTAACCAAATTGCCATGGGAACGTGCTCCAGACTGACAGAGAAGCAGGATACAGCTCCCCTTGTCCAGACAGAAAAGGAATCTACCAATGCTGAGTCACCCCACCTCAATTTTATTTTATAGGAGTATTCACAATTTTGAGTCATGAGTTGCTGGCATGCCTGAAGAAATAAAACTAAGTTAAATTAGGAATACATGTAACAAACTTTCCACCAAGACTCAAATAATTCCAGCAAGGATTATCAAGAACCAGTTATAAAAAGACTTAACAACTAGAACCAGCCTTTATTTAAGTCAATTCAGGCTCTGAGGAAAACAGGACTTGAGAACCACTGCTGAGAAACTGGAATGTATTTAAAGTCCTATGTTTAGAAAAGCCCTAAAGGCTTCTGGGTTTGCAACAGAGACAGAGAGTTTCAGCAGCTTATCTCAGCTCTGGGTTGGGAAGAACCTTAGCAAGAATCTGACAGTCCAAAGACACCCTGATAGCAGCACAGCTTCCCTGACTTGGAGCAGAAAAATTCCCAGACTGCCTGCTTGGAAGATAAAAAATCATACTGCCCAGTTTCCAGACTCAAATGACTTCTCAAAGGAAAAATACTTCATTTTTTTCTTCTGTGTTTTACCAGGCATTTTTTTCAAAACCCACTTTCTTTGTGGAAGTAGTTTCTGGAGGACAAATGAAGAATCTGTTTTTGTCTAACTCCAATGGCACAGGGAAACTTGTATTTTCTCCACCATTTCTAACAAGGTAATTTTTCCACCTGAGTCCCTTATTTAAGACAGAAGTTCTACATTGGTTAGGCTTCTTAAAAAAATACCTTGCCTGGCAGTAGAGAGGCTACCATGTTGAAATACTTACCCAGCATGGTGTAGAGGTTGCTAAGGATGCGAGCTGGCTGCACCCTGAGTGGATGGATATCAGCAATGCTCTGAACATGGATGCCACGGTTTTGCAACAGATTCTTAATTTGATTAGATTCTGCCAAAACAGTTACTGTATAACAGAAAACAAAAACACAAATAAAAACCAAAATTCTACTCTTTTTAACTGTCTCTACTGTCACCTCTCAACAAATGCACTAAGCTAACTAAAAAGGCATGAAGACCTCACTTTTTTCTTAATTTATGGATTCATGAAGTCAAAAGGGATTGCAATAGGGCACCTGACAGATTTTAATTCTGTTTCTCAGTATTTCTTGCCATTCCTGTCCACTTTGGATGACAGTGGTGGTCCGAAGAGTCCTCTGAGGTCTCTACTCAAACCTTCTGCTCAAAGCAGGGTCAGAATTGCTGAGGTTAAACCAGGTTCCTGGGGACTTAATCAGTTGCTTCTGATTTATTTGAGTACCAGTAGTTTGGATCACACAGTCCTTTTTAGAAGAGAGTCTCTTTTAGGGCTTTCCCCCCATAGAACAAAGGGAAACATGACTTGAAAATCTTTGTTCGTTTAACACAGCACACTATAACAACGCAGCCAAGGCACTGGGGAACAAGTGCTGTCACTTGTATAGCAATACATATTTCAGAGGACACAAAATGGCAGAGGTAGGGAGAAAAAAAAATTCCCTAATAAGAGGAATTTACAATCCAGGCCCAGAACCCATCTCTTGTCCCACTTGAGGTTTGGCCCATGGTAAGTGGCTGATTGATTTGGGACTAGTAATGCAGTATTCTTCTTTGTATAGTGAATACTTGCAAAAGAATGCTAAAAATAAGCAAGCACTTCTATTTCTATTGGAAATTAAGCACTTCAGAATAATGAAATGCTACTCCCATGAGGCACCAACAGGGGGTAAACAAACACCAGCCCAGGTCAAAGGATCCTTGACAAAGGCTGCTCCTGATAAATGAGCTGCTTGCTCTTTCAGTGTGGTCCAGGCACTGGAAAAGTCTTTAAGACCTGATCTGCTGGTGTTTGCTCTCTACTTTATTTCTGGTTTTGGTTGTTCTTGTACAAACTGAAGAGGCCACTCCCTGCAGCAGCCAAAAGCTGGTAATTCTGGCTGCCTCACCTCTGTGTGCAGGGATCCTCCACACTCAGTGCTCTCTGGTTCCTCTGAAAAGGGGATACATAAAACTTGATCAAGCTAATACACCTCCTGTCAATCCTGCTTGTTCTTTCTAGAAGCTGCCAACACTTTCCTTTTCATTACAATATTAAGTTTGCCATTCTACAATTCCAGACAAGTCTTAAAATTTTAACAATTTTTTAAAGTGTCTTAAACCCTATCTTCCCCCCTGGAAAAAGGCAACTAGGCAAACAAACTTTCTCCTTCTCACACTGTTGTCAAAGCATCTATGCCCCATGCAAAAAAAATCCACATTATTTTTAAACACATCTTTCATCTCTCCTGTACACAGGGACTTTGCCACCACATGATTCAATTGACACAAAATGTTCACAGAATTCCCTCACCTTGTACCACAACATCAGGTTTAAATCCCGTGGAAAATCTCCGGTTTAAGGGATCAATTTCACCTGCAGCAAGAAATCCCTAGAACACATGCAAAAGAAGGAAAAAATAAGGAAACAAACAGAGTTTAAGCAAAAGGCTTCTGACATATAGAATAAATCCTAACTAATTTTCCTATTTTTTCAGGACAGCAAGACTTAAAGCATGGTTTGTCTACCCTGCCCATGAAGTAGTACATTCAATAAAAACAATGGCTGCAATATTTTTTGGAACAACAAGAAAATGGTTCAGACTGACACTATCTGCATTCAGATTTCATATTTCAGAGTTACAGAAACTGACATAATTTCACCAAGAAAGTGATTTTTTTTTTTATAGCTCCACTGAGATATTTGTGGTTCTTTTAACTAATCTGACTTTAATGCATCTGACTAGTATGTACCTCATGCCATAGAGCAATAAATAGCCTAGTAAAGTTGAAATGGCCCAAAATCCTGGCTCTGGAACAGCCAAGTCAGCCTGGGCACACTCCTCTATTCTAACCATATTCCAGACCATGTGATAACTTTCTCAGCTTGATTAGAAAGGGACAATTGCTTAGCTCTATATATATATAAATAATAAAAAAAAAGGTCCTGGAAGCTTAGAGTCAGCCTTTCATGGTTCATGTGCATGTTTCTACTGGAAAACACACTGTCCTCTACCTGTCAACCAAACTGTACTTAAAGCCCAAGCGATCTCAAACAAAATGAAATACAAGTTTATCTACTATGCAAGGAATTACCTCTGCTAACAGGCAGCTCAGGACATACAATGATTGGCCCCAAAGATGAGGCAACTTTCCCATTGGAACACGATCCACTGTATGAGGATTTTCATACTCCTCATCCACCTGAAAACAAATATAAGCAAGAAAAATTACCCTAAAGTTGTGAAGAACAATCAGTAACATGTAAGTATTTGCAGACATATAGTCTAACATCAACCCTTTCAAGCCTGCCCTTACTACTGACTTAGAGATGTTGTGGTTTCACTTCTAAGGCTACACATTTTCTGGGACAAGAACTATACTTCCTTTTTGTACTTCTTCCCACCCTTCAAAGCTGGAGGATGAATGGGGACTGTGCATGCAATTACAGCTTTGGTATTAACTCTTCCACTTTCTTCTCACCATGCCTTTGCTGCCTTCCCTCTGGACTCCACATAGGTAACTGGGTGTCTGCTTTCCAACCCCTTCCAAGATGACACTTTAACTTCACTGATGTCTACCCAGCTTTCTGAAGTAAAAGGGCTTTCCAATATTAAGATTATTCCACCTTTCCTGCTTTAGCAAGGATGGTCAATAGAAAAATCAAGAGTAGACTTACTAATTTAGAAAAGCTGCCTTAATTTTGCAGTATACAGATCTATTGAGGGCAGGACAAAAACCCTCCCAGATTACATTTTCAGGCAGCCATTTCATATTTGTTTTATAGACAGACAAAATCTACCCTGTTGATGTGGCATGTTTTTCAGATCATTATCATCATATCAAAATTCACAAGAAGGCTCTGGACTCTTACACGCTTGTTCCCACTAGGAAGGCAATTCTGTTTCCACCTCAGATCTGCGAGCAAGGCATCAGCTGTCGGCTGAGCAACTCAGACCAACCCAGGAGGCTCCACACCCTTAGTGAGTGAGGGCTGAGAAGTCTGGAGTGGGAGAAGAAGTTGGCAGGGAGGGATACAATGGCAAATAGCATGGAAGAGCACATAAGCTCATCTGAATTTCTCTGTCACGACGGGAGAATGAGATAAACAGTAACAGCAAAGGTAGGGCAAAAGGAAATACCCAACCCAAAATCCCAGCCCAAACCCTAATCCATTTGAAACCTGTCTCCCATACATGCTCTGGAAAAGGGCAGCACAATCAATCAACAGACTAGACAAGCAGGACAGTCTATGCTTTATTTCTTCTTTGCGCTTCAGTTCCTAAGCCAGTATCAGCACTTCTTAAATATATGTCTTGCTCTAAGGATGTAAAATTTTAGACCTGATGTGATATTTCCACAGACAACTTACAAGTGAAAAATGTGACCATTTGGAAGCCTAAAGTTTACCATTTTTCAGCAGCAGCTCTGAGAGGTCTCTTACTTTTTAAAATAATGTGCAACAGTCTTTTTTATTGTTGGTTTAGATTCATCAGACACAGAAAAACTGTAAGACTGACATTCCTCTTGCTCTCTCAACTTTGCATACTCAAGTGGACACTGCATTTTCACAATACCTTTTCTGGAGGGACTGCATACAGTTCAGGCATTAGCACTAATCCATTCTTCTCTCTTATAAGTATTCCTTCCAGAGCCTCTCTGTACTCTTGTACCTGGAATTATTTTTAAAACAGAGTGAGAATGCACATTACAGTCAGGAAAACAGAAACAATAATGAGCAGTACTTTTTTACTGAAAGTTAATATACTTAAAAAGATAAAAAAAGGAGTGGAGGAATCATGACCTGCTGATGGAAGAACAGGGTTCAAATTATCAGAGACTATTCCAGCATCTCAGTGTTATCACAAACACAAACATTTGCCTTCAAACTGTAACACATTGCTACAAAACTTTCAATATATTCCTACTGAGAAGTGTGGTGGGTCTAGTGCTGGCCAAGCACCAATGCACCCATTAGAATATACTTACTCATTTCCTGCTGTGAGATAGGATTAGGAGGAAGGCAAAGCAGGCTCAAAACTTTAAAAAAGGTATAAAGAAAACTTTATTAACAGTAACTAAAAGAAAGAATAATAAGAATCAGAATAAAACCTTTAGAACACTTCTCCCCCTACATAGTTTTTTTTTTTCCACTAACAATGTACAGAAACAATTCAATCAGTTTATCACTCCTAGAATAGTCTTTCTTCAGTTCACTTACAGAGAGGAGTCCCTATTGTCAATTTATGGGGACTTATCCACAAGAAAACAGTTCTCTTGTGACTTTTAAATTCCATAAACAGCAGCTGCTTGGAAATCTGCAATTGTGAAGTCACTCCCATTTTTTACAGCTTTTCCAACAGTTGTGTTTATGGGCCATGTCAACTTATGGGGTACTATTCTAAGGATGAGCTGTTCAAGAGCAAAGGTTCTCTTTATCTCTGAGATCATCTTCAAATCTGAGAAGTCTTCTTTGACCCCAAGGCAAAAGGGTCTTCATCACTCTTCTCTCTCTCTGTTCAAACATCTCATGGGATCACAGCTACTTCAACATTTGCTTACTTTAGCATAGAGATGTTTGCTCATATCTACAATTTGAACACTCAGTTTCCCCATACTTTCAAAGAGTTAAAGGGAAAAAGAGTCTGATGTATCAATTGCATTCTTCTCCATAGCTTTACAAGAGGATTTCAGCCCCTGAAAGAGGGGAGATCAAGGCATCTCCTTATCCCTCCCATATGGGACTTGGCTCTTTCTTCACTGACTTTGGTGTCTTCATGTTGCTCCTCTACATGTTCTCACTCTGTCCTTTTCTCTCACCGGAGTAAGGATTGAAGGTCTGAAAGTTTCATTTGTGCACTGAAAGAGTTAATATCTTGCCTGGGGCCTGCAGATGGTTACAAGACCCCGGCTGGAGCTGTGGCTGGGCTGGAGTGGGGAGCAGAGGATCGCAGCAGCCAGGCCAGGGCTGAGCTGCAGCATGCCAGGGGCCAATGGCCTCCCCTCTCCTGCACTGGCAGACGATGGGGCTCAGCCCCACGGCAGAGCCCGCCCAGCCCAGCCCAGCCCAGCTGAGAGGGGGGCCAGGCCAGCCTTGCTACCTGCTCTCCGGCTGGAAGGAAAAAGGGGCTTCCCGGGATTTTTTTAGTCTTTAACATGTGTATTCACAGAGGTGTGTCCAGCTTTCTCAGTGGTTTAACAGACTGGCAGTTCTCAAAGCTAAGGCTTTTTTGTCAGACACAGAGGAAACTGCTAGCAGCTTCTCTAAGAAAGTCACTTCTGTGAATGGCTCCAATGCAAAAACAGCACAAGAAGTCACTGAAACAGATCCTACAAGTAGTTTTCAATGGATGACAGTGCAGTGACACAGACATCAGACTGCTAGTGTGTAAGGTGTATAAATTGTTGGCTGTATGCCATGAACATTTGTCTGTGGCTTGCTGAATTCCATTTTGCAGGATTGGGAAATCAGTTTCTCTTAAAATTTTGATTAAAATTTTGTCACAATGAAAGGTTAAAATAGATTTAAATGTTTAAAAATATCTAAGTTCACTGACCCGCAAATCCTCTTTTTCTTGTGATATTAGACAACATACTAGGAATAGGAATAACAGACTGATAAGAACATGCAATTAATTTTCTTTTTACCAGATTCCGTTCCATTTATTAACTATCCAGTCCAAGTTTTTTCTTAGACAGAAACTTTTCAAGCACTACCAGCATCTGCCTCAGAAATCCTTTTTCTGCTGTTCTTAAGTACAGTGGATTACTCAAAGTAAGGGACCCATAGGTTCACATACACTGACATTTTCCCACATCCTGTCCCACTCCACTTTTTTTGAGTCCTCAGGGTGCTTATTTTTCTAGCAAAACCATTTGTTTGCAGTAGTAACTGGGGCCTAGACATTCACCTGAGTGTCAAAGTGACTCATTGCCCTTTAACTAAGGGCAATTGCCCTGACCATGCCCTAGAACAGTCCATCTGCACACCAAAAAAAAAACACAAACAGGTACATACTGTCCCAGATAATCCAACTAAGGTCTAGAGACTGCTTCAGGAAGTGGTATTTTATTGGCTGGACTGAAGTTTCAGTAAACTTTCCGTCCTTCCCCCTCACAAAATAATGCCATTTCTCTCTTCACCAGACTACTTTTACTGTGTTCAGGAAAACATTTTATGTGTCTAGCATCAGGAGAAATTTCACTTGATTTTTAACATCTGATACAGAAAGAGGGGTTTTTGTCTGAATTGTTTCTGATGACATTTCAATTTTTAAAGGAGCTCAGCGATCTCCTATCCCTCTGCATACTAGGAAATTTTAAATCACATATATTTTTAATTTCTTTCAAGCTACCAAACTGCAGAAGTTCTGGTATAAATGTATTTAGTCCTGCCTACTCGCTGCTCTTCAACTTACCAATACTCCCCAAGTGCCACCATAACCTTTGGAGGGCTACAATCAATTTAGTTCTACTGACCACTGGACGTCTGGCACAGTAATGGCATGAAGTTACTCGGGAAACTAGTGAAAATGAAATTGCCCTACATAAGCCAATCTCAGATCCCCCTGAATGTACAAAAAGACTAAAAGTACTACAAATCTTGTTCTCAGCAGCCAAGCCAAAGAGGCTGGGGAAAAAGAAGCTTGTCTCATCCTGAAGTAATTGTGAAAGGCGCACCAAGGTCGGTGATAAGACAAAACCAGCAAAATAAACCCTGTTTAGCCCAGGTTTACTACCCCAGCTAATATAACCACTCAACCTGGTAGGGGCAACCAGGCCCCAGTGTGCACAACCCTGCTGCCTCTACCACATCATGAACTCCCCAGGAAGGTGAAATTGGCTGAAGACTATTCCACTCTGCTAATGGGGTATCTAAATAATACCCAAAACAAACATGGAACAAAGTTACAAAATACTGTGGGTAAATCGTTTTTCAATTTGAAAGCAATGTCTTCTTTCCTCACCTGGATCTTGTCCTCATTAAATATTCCATCTATTAGGAAGTATGTCCAGAATACTGGCCACTCACATTCAATATTCTCAAAGAGCTTGAGCTCAGCAGGATCATAGTGCAGCCTGCTTGGATCCTAAAAAATTCAACCACACTTATTTAGTCACAGTGCTAAATTAGTCACTTATATTCCAATCATAATGCTAGCCTATTTTATACAAATTATAGCATAGACACCAATACACCCACCAGAAATGGTTTCCATGCAGTCTCTTGACTTCTTTGTCACATTCACTCTCAAACTCATTTAATAGTTCTCTATACAAATCAATCCTTCCTAGTCTCTGGATCTAAGTGTCTCCCAAATGATTGTGGCTCTGCCTCAGTTCAAAGATATTTTGGGATATTTCAGAGATACCGCCTCATCTTAGACACCATAAGTACATCTAATGGTTAATTTCTTACAGAATTATGAATTAAGTTCTGTCTTTAATAATTGTTTTTTAAACCCTTAGAGCCTCCCTCCAATATGTGTCCTGTCCGGGGTGGGTACCTGGATTACCCCAAGATCCAATAAGATGTTTTAGCAGTGATGAAGAACATCACCCCTTCATGTAAATAAAACAAATTATGTCTATAAAGAAGAGATAAATTTCTTCCCATGTGCTTACTGAAAATATACATCATAAATATATATCAGAAGTACCTCTCTGGGTGTCTTGTAACCATCTCGGAGAAAGCGACAGCAGCCATAGCGGCCCTGTAAAAACAGACAACATTGTAGAAAATTCCCCTTACACTTCTTCCTCATAGACTAATATCAGAATAAAGGTGTGTGCTGAGTTTTATGGGTCACTTAGGGATCTTTCTCCCTCTCTTCATGCACAGAGGAACCAACCTTGCAACCCTTGTTTAATTAGGATTGTTGGTTTAGAAACAGGTTTTGCTTCTCTCTTTGGAAAACAAAAATAAAGTAAATCCTTACCTGCAATTTGGATATGATTTCACTCTTGGTTACATTAACAAGGTTCACATCCTCCACTGCAAAAGCTGGGTAAGAAATAATAGACAGAAGGCCAGCATCTATCTCCTTTGATGTGGATGCCCTTGGCAACATGGAGTACAGAATAGACTGAGCAAAACAAGAACAGGAGAGAGAGATGTAAAACAATTTGCCAACTTCAAAAGCTATGTCAAGTGCAAATGAGACTAAACTATTTGCAAACTGACAGAGAAGTGTGTGCAGTTACTTTTAACTGTGTTAGAATGAGAATGCTTCACCCAATTCAGTTTGACATGATCTACTAGAAACAGGGTGAGCAGCATAGCCTGAAGCCATCCTTATTATATTACATTCTTGGCTTAGTTAATCAACATTTCATTTAAAAACAAAGGGGAGAGAGTGTTAGGTTTTCCCCTAGTAAAGCAGAGCAGACTAATTTTTACCTGGCAGTGTTCCACTTCATCAGGAAGAACATGAATCACTGATTTGTGTCCTCCATGAGCTCCAAAAAGATCTAGTTCATCAATTGCTTCCAAAGCAGCCTTCCAAGGAAACCAAACCACAACTCAAAATCAATAAATACCTTTTAAAACAAGTATACACCCTAGCACCTGTACTTAACCTCTAAAAGAAATTACAAAAGACAGCAGTTCACCCCACAGACTTTTTTTCATCTTTAAAGGGAAGCTTGGCAATATTTTAGAAAAAGTAACTATTTCTGGTTTTCAGCTAGTAGGATAGAGGACTGATGTACTGGTGATCCTTCCTACAATTTAAAGGCAATACAAAAAAACTGGGAGCTGGCTTTCCAGAGAGATATCATCTAAATATTGACCTACTTAGTAAAAAATGCTTGTCCTGCCCTATATTCCAAAATAACCTTCTTTATCAGTGAGTGCACACAAGATCCAACAAATCCTGCTGAAAGGCAAATGCACCTTTAACCTTAATGATATTTGTCTTCTGTCTGTCCCTCAGATACCATGTAATGAGGTAGTTGTCAATTACATATTTACATTTATGGCCTGAGCTTCATTTAGTATGTCTGTGACCTTGAGCTATGAGGGAATCAGAAATATCTACTTTCTTTTAAGCATATCTTCATTTATTTTTCTCTCTAAACTACTTGTAGAAAATTTCTTAAACTGATATTCTGCTCTTTTTTAGAATTTACATCTGACTTGATCTTACCATGACAACACATATGACACTGAGGTTGAAGAATTAAGGAGGAGGGAAAAGAAAACCCGAGGCCACTTTATAAGACTGTATCTCACTGAATCTGTCAGATTCATGGTTCAGTTAATCTGGTACCTTTCTTGTAATCCCTGGAACAACTGTGCTGAGGCCCTTCAATAAGAGCCATTATCCCAAAGATTTCACACTAAAAAATACTCACACCTAAACAAAAAAACTTATACAATCAGCTAACTATTGCAGTGGCCAAGAAGTCCATACAAAGGAAGCAATCAGGTTTGTCAGAGCCCTTAAGTATAACACAGCAGCCATGAAGAAGGTATCAGGAAAACATTCTCACTTTGGCCATCCCTACAGAGCTCGCGTTCAGTTCAGGGATTCCTTGGTTTGTCTTATCACCACGTTCCCAAATTCCATAATCCTGCAACAACATCATCAAGAAAAAAATCACACAATTTTATATAAAAGCAACATTTTGCCCAATTTCCCACAACAAATCCCCACCCCTACATGAAATTAGTTCATTATTTGCCTTCAAAAAAAAAAAAAGTAAAAAGGAGCTCCAAGTCTCAAAAGAGACCCTCCTCATGTTTGAAAAGAAGCACATAAAAGTACAACCCCAGCAGGATCACGTGTACAGTCACAAATCACTGCCTTCACAGAACACACAAAGCTCTTTATCCCTCCTCCTGTGCATGTCCCTTTGACTTGGTTTGCTAACAACCTGTCCTTTCTAGAAAGGCCTATAAGACTTACAATTAGACATCAGGAAATATTACTAATTATCAATAAAACCCCCTATTATTGTGATAGAACAAGTATATCTCACCCACGCAGCAGTAAATCCTCCACAGCCCTCCCAACATCTCCAAAGATGCTGCTTGCACTGTAAAGCACTGACAGGTTCTGATATCTTCTTGTGGAAAAAACCAAGTCCCTATTTTACTTCTCCAGCAATAAATAATTTTCCACCCACACTTGATCTGAGTGGTGTTCAGATCATTTACATATAAATAACTACTTACAGCAACTTTGTAGGCAGCTTCTATGTAAAAAACAAGATTCTGGATAAAGGTAACTTCATCAAGGGTGAAGATAATACGTAGCCCTGATCAAAAGATGGAAAGAGAATAATTGTATTGTGAACTGCAATAGCTACTCTACAGTGATTTTCATGCTTTTATTTGCTATTAACCCCTGCCCACTGAAATAAAAGGAAAAACTCATTTCCAAATGTCAGGCAGGAAACCTCAATACTTGCTACTGACAAAATACTTCAAACCCCACCAACACTGTTTCAAACCCCACCAACACCCCACCAGACTGTTTCAAAGACCAACCAAAAACCACCTCACACTCAGACCATGGGTAAAAAGCAGAGGCACCTGAGCCACCTCTGGCTCTCCAGAACAGTGAATACCAATTCCTGCAGCTCCCCAGCCCTCTGCCTGCTCAGTGCTCTACCAAGGAACCTTCAAGATGACCAGGTGCCTGCTCTGCAGGGATCAATTGCAAGGGGTTTCAAAGACAGAAAAACACATAAGGAAACACATCCTTATTCTCACAGGAGGAGTATGATTAAGAAGAACACAAGATAATGCAGCACCAGTAAAAGAAGAAACACTGATGGCACAAGTGCACCTGACTCAATGTTGCTACTCTCTGAAGAAAAGTGGTTGTCTCCTATGAAGTCTTCAAACATGAGACTTCTCAGACATGATTCTAAATATCTCATGTATTTGATGCCTTAATTAAGGGCACAGACACTGCCAATTACTATAAACAAGAAATTCCAAGTAAGGCTATTTTTTTTTCCCAGAGAAACATGACTTGCTTCTGAGGAATAATTATGTAAAGATCTTTGAAGCTGGTTACTGCTTTTCTTTTACTTTTAAAATAAGAGCTGGAATAGAAAGGCTGCAACAAAAGGCAAAAATATCTTCTGCTTACCTGATGCAGTCATCTGTGCTAAGAAGAGCAGGTAGAGGGAAGTTGCATCCACTTGTAGATGCCCCCACTGGTCATCCCCAACCACTGTGGCACAAGTTGCAGAGTTATACTTGGCATGGAGGCAGTCTTTGGTACTCTGAGTGCGTTTGAACTTCTCTACCTTATCTACCTAAAAAAACATCATAAATCTCAAATCTGAAACATTTTGGAAGAAATTTTCCAAATTATTTTGAAATTAACAATTTTCCTTAGGTGAAGAGAATCTTGAGGTCTTAATCCTGTAACCTCACTCAGTTTTGATTGACCAGAGGGCTTAAACACAACTCTGACATTAGACTCCAGTTAAATCCACATCTCTAAGGAAACTCTGACATTAGACTCCAGTTAAATCCACATCTCTAAGGAAAGAATATGATTAAATTACCTTGTTGAGTTCAGATGTAAACTAAAGGCATCCATCTTGGTGAAAATCAGTTTGCAAAGGCAAAACTCTGATTTGCTACAAGCATATTCTCAAAATGTTACTTGGACAAGAAGTGGAAGCAAGGTCAGTGTTTTGCTCAAGAGTTATAAGAAGACTCCCCACACCACCATCTGCACACACACAAAATAAGACACTCCACAGAAGACACAAGAACTACATGCTTCAATGAAACACTTTGTAAATACATCTACTAACTCAATCCTATGGCATTACCTGTCTCATCATGCACTGCAGGAGTCCCCGCATCAGCTTCACAACGTTCTGCAGGAACAAAACATACCAGTGCCATTTTCAGCCTCATGCTCTTACTAACAACATTCAAAAGTGGCAAAGTTCACACCCTCTATTAATGTCCTGCCAAAGGTAAAAAAGAATATATATCTGCCCAAAATGTTTTGCATGTTTTTTTTTTTTTTTAAATACAGCGATGAGATTTTATTCCTTCATCCCTATCTAGAAGAAGTCTTTTCCCAAAGGTCCTCTCTAAACAGTGGAACAACTTTCCACAGTCCTAAAGGAGCTAAAGGAAATAAGAAGAATGCTAAGTCTTGTAAGAATATTAATACTACATTTTTTGAATTTACAGATCTAGGGAACATTGGTAGGTGACTTCATGACATTGACATGACCGCGAAACCTGTAGAGCTTCTTCCACTCTTTATACAGTACAACAAAAATCAAGTGACAGTAGAGAAAGGACCGTAAGTCTGAATGTAGAGAAGTGCAAGATTGTGCATTAAATAATCAACCCCACCTTTTCACCCCAGTTATATAGCCTCAAAATGTAAATATGATCATGCAAACTGAGTCAAGGTTATTCTGTCACCATGGACCTCCCTGGTTCAAGTAAGGACACAGCAGCAAAAAATTTACCCAGTGACTACAAAACAACATCAGGACACCAACAGTCCCTCACTTCACATTTAACCCACCTCTGTTTAAATTCTCATTTCTGATATACTCACATTCCCAACTGCAGATTTTAGTATTTAACTGCGTGAGTTATGTCCCTTTCCAATTCTCCAGCACAGAACTTATCAGTCTGGAGGTCATTACCATCTCCACTATGATGAAACACACCTACACACCACGTACAGCCTCCGTGAACATTCCAAAGACTTCTACTTTAAACAGCATGCTTCTCTTTATGGGGAAGAAAGGTCTAGCAGATAAATTGCTGCAAGCAGCCTAGGCCTGATTTTCTGCACCATAACACACCTTATGAGGAACATCAAGGTTTAATCAGAGAGAGTAATTGTAAATTGGGAAACAAAACCTCTCAGAAGCCTAATTTTCAACAATCAGCCAACCGATAAAGTTTGACTTCTACATATTTTTGTTTCATTTGCAGTTAAATTCAGATGTTAGCCTCTCTGCCATCCAGTCCTTCAAATCCTCCTTGCCAGAAAGTTGCCACGGATACTGCACACCACACACTGCATGGATGTTGCTGTCTCTGGAAGGCGTACTCCAAGCCAAGAAAACCCTGCCAGATTCCAGACACAGCAGCAGTGCAAATGCACTCTCCAAAAACACTACAGTAAGAAAACCCAAACAGTGGAACTGGTTGATGGTTGAGCCTTGACGCACCTGCTCAAGCTCGTAGGCTTTGGCTTTATCCTCATCCCGGTCCGCATTCTTCCGATACGCCATTCCCAGCCCCCACACGGCCAGGATGCTGTAGATGTTGTCCCGTACCCAGGCATCCTTATGGTCTGCCCCGGCTGAAAGCAGCCCCGTCACTGGGTTCTAAGCATGGCAGAAGGAATAAAGAACAAACATTACCACCTCAAGTCCCATCTGCTGTGAAGCATCACTTCTTTCTGTATTAAAGGGTAACAAACGAAAGATGATTTCATGCTAAGTGTACACTGCGGCTGCTCATGATTTCACAACAGAAGTGAGATCCCATCCTTGCTTCCCAAACTCACACAAATGAAATGCAAAATTTATTTGAACATTTCAGCTTGTAAAATTTACAGCATCCAGCTGGACATCTTCATCCATTAAGGACTAGTAGCTGAGTCACTGAGTGAAATTCAGAATACGTCAGGGAAATGCAAATTTAGATTTTACATATTTATGAGGAAAAGAAGGCACTGAGTTAACACAAGCAGTTTAGTATGGGATATATGCTCCTCTATGTAACTGGTCTGTGGCACAATTTTTAGAAAGTAAAAAACCACTAGTGATCTTCTAGGAGATTAAAAAAGTATTTCTATATATCTGCCCACTCAGTTTATGACAGCTAAATCAATGTAAAACCTTTATTATATCCTCATTTGGAAAACATACAGGAAAAAAATGTGAAGGTGTTGAAAAGCAGCACCATCTGAAAAGCAGAGCATCCCAAATACTCCATTAAATTTTTCATTGCATCATTAATGCCCATCACTTCACTATCCTTAATTTTTTTAGACCATCTTTCTTGGCTGTACATTCTTGACTAACAAAAAAATGAAGCAAAGAGGCAAAAGGTTAATAGAACTTTTAATCAAATCAAGCTTTTACAGAAAATTTCAGTGAATGAAGACCAGTTGGTGGGGTTGGTGTGACTAGGGGCAAAGATTACTAAAGATTACTTTTACAAAAGTAAAATTTAAAAGGATACATCCACCAATTTTTCGTTTCTCCCACACACTGGTTCACTCAACTAATTTTTTATAAAAAAGCTGGTTTGAGAGAGAGGGGCTTTAGTTACAATTTCCTGGTCTCTGCATGTGAGCAGCACAGGGGTGACAGCCTGACAGACTGACCGGGCACAGTCAGCCCTATTGTCATGGTTTAATACAGCAATGCTTAGTGGCTCACTCAGAGTAGAAAGGAAGTTCTGCTGCAACAGCCCCCTCAGCAACTATTGAAGGACCCCTGCTTACCTCTTTGATGGGGAAAGTACCATATATGAATGCAAACAGCTTAAAAAACTTCTCTTTGGTCTTGAAAAGTCAAACAAGGAGTAACAAAAGTCACAGATCAGCACTGTGCCCACATGACAAAACTCAGGGTCTCAAAAGGTAGACCACATACTCCCAGCATTCGTAGAGGACACTTTGTTCCCCTCCCTCCAACGCAGGACAACAAATGTCTACTTGCCTGCAGCCCTGACTTAATAGAGATCACTCTGCTGTCTGAGAAATTATCATTTTGGTTTATTTTTCCCTACTCTCCATGCTGGCTAGCTGCCACTTGAAAAATAAAAATGTCTCTGTGTACCAAAATGGAATCCCAGAGAAAAAGCCCATCCAAGACTTTAAAAGACTATTCAGCTCCCAGGGAGGGACTTGTCTATCTCAAGAGGTTGTATTAAACACATCCATGGGTAGCTATCACCATTTCACCACCTTTGATTCCTCTATAAGTTGGTCCCAGCTTTTTGGGTGCACTGGGGCTGGCTCTCATGAACTGACAACACAATATCTTTCCTCATGCACATTCAAAATGTTAGCAGAACAATATAATATACTAATTAATATTTTATGTGGCTTTGTTTCAGCTTTTTCAGAAGTATTTTCTCTTAAAACTACAATTACTTTCTTTTGTTACCTGCTGGCACCATATGAAAACTACAATATTTACAAGGTGCTAAAGAACCCACAGAAACACTGAGTGCACTTAATCCCCCCGAGGTCAAAGGGATTTTAGCTTAGCTAGTACTTCAAGCATTCCATCTATGCAGTAATAGCTAATTAGACTAGCAGGTCTCATCCTGCAAATCACCCTGCTCATAAGATCCATAGAGCAAAGAATTTTATCAGCACCATGGGCTGCCAGCTGATTGCTGGCTAAGGCTTTAAAATGTTGTATCATGCCCAAACCTATATTTAAATCTATCCATCAATCTAGAGACAAAAAGACCCCCAACAACCCAAACCAAAAAACACACCAGTTCTTACATGGCAGCAGATGTCAATAAGAACTTCAGCAGGACAGGAACAAAACCAGTAGGGTTCTAACAAGAGCAGCAAAGCAAGTAATTTAGCATCTTTATGAAAGGTCAAATTAAAGAGATTGTCTCATTGATCTGTCAAGTGAAAACTGAGGTAGCTCTAGCAAAGTTTGTAAATTTGTTTGTGAAACTAGCTGTAATATGATGTGAGTGAGTCTTGGGATGGTCTAGAAGTTGGACTCGATGGTTCTTGTGAGTCCCTTCCAATGTGATTCCATAACACAGCTGGGGTTACCCATACAGGTATGAGCCTTCCTTATCAGGTCCATATGCTTTTCACTTATAGTACCATAGCAATACTTAAAATGTACATAGATGTTAAGTTTTACTATTTCCTAATCTTAATATTCACATTTTTTTCTTATGTCATTCAATTTAACAGGTGCAATAAGCAGCTGAGTGGTGCTTTTCAAGGTCTGCTCTGCTTCAGCACCAAAGCATCCCTCTGACCCCTGTCCCTTGGGGTACATGCAACAGATGGCAGGTGCCCCACAGACAGGAGCCAGTAGTCTGGTCTCATCCTCCATTTATAACCTTTAACAGGATGGTAACTATCAGTGTGCATGCTACAGGGACTGACAAGGACAATGTAACATCTGCAAAACAGAAAAAGGTTTGCTACTGATCTGATCCTAACAAGATCAGGTCAAGGTGCCACACACAGAAAACTGTCAGCCCTGGTGCAGTTGAACCTGTTACTTGAACACATCTGCCCTGATAGCACAGATACCCTGCATTAAAAATTGCCTCTAAAAATCACATTGATCTAGAGCAATTGGAATGAGCACAAGATTAATTTCTGCTACTGAAAAACTTAGCTCCTGGTGCATTAAACACCTGATCAAAGCCCACTGCTCTGTGCACAGTTCACGTTGCCCTTGCTGCACCTTACAGAGGTGAGTGTGTCACTGCCCTCTGTCAGAGCACAGCAGCTGATGTGCCAAGGCTGTTCTCCTGCAGCTGTGGATGTGAGGGGCAGGGTCACAGTCACACATCACCCCGCACTGAGCAGCAGCACCTCAGAAGCATTTTAAACACCTTCTGGTTCTTCTGCCATGCTGCTCCTGAGCACATGGCTAAAACTCACTTCCCTGTCCCTGGCTCCTTCCTGAGAGGCACCAGCAGCAGTGAAGCAGTAGCATCCAAGCCCATCCAGCCACAGACTTTCTGCTCCCATGAAAGACACAGTTACATGTGGCCCAAAAACAACCTTCCTAACTTGCCCAAACACTGCATGCCTTCACCTGGCTGAACACAATATTTTCAAGCTATTGCAGTGAAAAAAACAGGAAGACTATAAATAAATATATTTTAAAAATCTAGAAAGATGCCTTGAGCATTTCTCTGAGTCTTCTTGAGATACCACTGATCCTCTGCCTTGCTGCTAGCCTGTGAACTGCTTTCCACAAAAAGAAGAAAATTTACCTCCTTTCCTCACCTCTGAATTCTTGAGCCCTTAGTGGAAATGGCAATACATAGTCATGAACACTCATCCTATTGCTTTAAATAGCAATGACAAAATTCTTGGTCAGCAGTATGAAGCCCTGTATTACCATTTACTTACACTTTTTACTATTGTTAAATATTAATATCATCAAGGCTTTCATGGGGCATGTTTGAGCTCTGAATCTCAGAGTATCCACGTTTCCCCTAATGGAAGCTGTTACCAGCATCCTCATCTTATTATCAAGGAAATTAAGGCAGGCACTGGAAGCCAAAGTGACTTGCCCAAAGTCATCTTGCTGACAAAAGGCAGACATGGGAACACAACTAAAAGCTTCTCCTCCATCCCAGCACAGGAAGAGCCAAAAATTATCTTCTCACGCCACAGATACCAATTCTTGCATTTGTTTCTACTGAGTCTACAATAATTAGTACACAAACACCAATTCCCAGGTGTTTGGACCCTGTGCTCAAAACAATGGCCAGTGACAAAAATCTTACTGACCAAAGTGCATTTGGGGCCCAGCCTCTTCTTTCACTGCTAATCAGTTTCTTGCAAATGTCATCAACAAAGCATTTTGGTAACTGATCTGTGCAAAAAACCCTGCTGCTCATCTTTATATACTGGATTGTTTTAACCAAAGCATGACACTGCTGAACACCTTCTGAGTCCTCAGTGCCTCCTGAGTAAAGCAAGCACACTAAGCAGAGAGCACTGCGCTGACCAAAAAACACGAGGTGCACACAACCTCCCGGAACCACCCCGGCTATTTTCGTTCTTTGGCGGCTCGCCTGTGCAGCTCCAGAGCCTCAGCAGTGCGGACAGCGGGAGAATAGACTGGAAGCTCTGGGTCGTGCCCCCGCACACTCGTGCTGCGGGGAGCACACAGGGATCCGCACCGCGCTGTGCTGACAGGCACGGCACAAAGTCCTGCTCGGAGCTTATGGCACCGGGGCGGAATGCTGCTCTTGCCATGGGTGCGTGTGTGTATATATATATATATA